AGATATATAGATAGATAGATAGATAGATAGATAGATAGATAGATAGATAGATAGATATTCACATTAATAAGCATAAGCAGTTGAATGCGGCAACAACGTTACTAAGTTAGAATACTTTATCGATTCAACTTAGACAAAAATATACTACGACAATTCTTTTTCATATCAAAATTTGAAATTGCAGTCTTTTTATTCGTTAAAAAAATAAAGATTTCAAACAAATGGAAGTATTTTCTTGATATAACGTCTGGGACTTCTTGGTAATGTACATACTTATGCGATAGTAATGTATTTTAAAGTAGGATTCTTTCTGTATACCTGTGTATTTAAACTAAAGTTTTAAGGAATAAAGTATACCCTATCTCGTGGTTTATATATTTCATCGAATGCTTTTTGTATGCTTTAAAATGCTTATTCCAAAATCTTATTAAAAAAATCACAGATATTCTATATTGGACAATAGATAAACAGAATTAAAATTACATTTTCCTTATGCATTTCTTTATCACTCGTTCTATTATTTAATAATTTGTACCTATCCCTAGCTTACAATTAACATTTTGAATACTTTTAATAATTTATAAAGTTAACAATTTAATAGCTTTTATTTATAAATTGTTTTACATTAAAGTAAAATTTCTAATAGTATACTATTGTTTTCTAGGATAAAGATAGAAAAGTGAAAATACAAGTCATTCAAAACTCAAACCTAAAAAGGGCTCTTAAAATAGCCGGCTGTTCAACTCCTGAACCTCAAGCTTATCAAACTGCAGAAGACATTGTCAGCAAACATAAGGGTAATTAATAATGAAATTAGTCATTATGATCTCCTAGAGTTGTATAAGCCTTTAGTTTACAGCATGTTCTTATCTTAAAAATAATTATTTTTTCAAATCATTGAAAGCATTTGAGAAAAGAATATGAGAGTTAAAATATCAGGAGTATATAGAGTTATAATATGAAAATATAGAGAGGTTGTTGACGTATGCCTGTTTAGGCAGAGGGGGTGCGATTGTTCTTGTCTTCCAGTGGCGCCATCTATGGCCAAGAATTCGACTTCTGCCACACCATACGTCACACCCGTTTATAGGGCGGACCCATTCATACATCCATTCATTCATCTGCAGATCGTAATTTTGACCTAAATCAGAGAACGATCGATCTCCAATCCAGTATCCCTAGAGATATTGATTTGTTATGGGAACATGGAGAACTTTTGCAACTCGACAGATTTTACGTGCATCAGTCACAAATATAGATTTGTTGCTGACGTATGCCTGTTTAGGCAGAGGGGGTGCGATTGTTCTTGCTTTACAGTGGCGCCATCTATGGCCAAGAATTCGACTTCTGCCACACCATACGTCGCACCCGTTTATAGGGCAGACCCATTCATACATCCATTCATTCATTCACAGATCGTAATTTTGACCTGAATCAGAGAACGATCGATCTCCAATCCAGTACCCCCAGAGGTATTGATTTGTTATGGGAACATGGAGGAATTTTTGCAACTCGACAGATTTAACGTGCATCAGTCACTTTACTACCCGGAGAGTCTTCGGTCGGCGTTGTTCGAGCCCACAAACTCTCAGACATGGCCCCAGCTTCCTACCGACCAGGCTTTCCCAGCAAAATATAGAGTTAAAATCTAAAATTATCTATTTAATAAGCAATTTCAGATTAAGCGTATTTAACAAGTTACATTTATGACTTTCGTTTTTTATTGTTGTTGAATTACGGGTAAGCTGTTTAGTTAGTTATTTTAGTTAGAAAGTAAATAACTAACTAGAGCTTAATCATTTTCACATTTAGCTAAAGTTATATACATTTAGAAAATTTCCATTTAGAGAGTGACTGCAAATTTATTGTTGCTTATTCCATGAGGTAAATATTTTCAAACACTTTATTTTGTTTGTACCGAAGCATAAAAGTAAAATAGGGTGCGAAATTGCTTTATTTTATGAATAAGTTGTATATTCTATCATTTAATTTTGATAAATATTAAGGCATCATATGGAATTATTATATGGAATAATTAAGATTCTGATTTTAAAAAGAAGGGACATAATTATCTATTATTTATAGAAATCGCAAGTATGGCAACTTTTATTTTGCAATATTTTCATTTCCGGATTGTTGAGCTATTGCACACATAGCTAGGTAATTCTTGTCCCTCACGTGCTGTTTTAGCTAATTAATGTTTTTTTGATTTATAGCTTTAGATGAATTGTTAAAATTGCATTCTTTAAAATGATGTAAGAAATTGTATACTACCTTACAATTTAAAATTTTTTTTCGTCTATTATTAAATAAAATTACAAAAAATAATAAATATTTATTGAAAATATAATAAAATTATAAATAAATATTATATTTTCCCTGGAATTAACTTTAAATAAATGAATTTTAAAATTTTGTGCAAAATTATTTCAATTCTCCTAAAAAGTTAAAATAAGCAAACAACGTTAATATGACGGAATAAGCAAACAACTTTGAGGAGAACAAACATTCATGAAATTATAGAGATTTTATTTCTAAGATTGCGACTACCCCCTATATTTTTGGGATTGGAAATCTGAATCCATCATAAAAAAAGGTATGTTCATTGATAGAAATTCCGTGTTTATGTCTGATTTCGTAACTTGAAGTATCATCTGTACAAATTAACTAGCATATTTAAAAACACCCTTTAGAACCTTAAGATTAAGTCTTAGAACGTGAAGATCCGATCATTAGATCAGAAGTTATTCTGAGTTGTCCAGCCATTTATTGTGCATTGTACATATATATTTAAAATATTTATTATCAAAATAAATTAATATTCTTAGTAACACTAGCATGAATATGCGCATTCTAGTTCAACTGTAAATGACAAATGTTAACTCAAACAATAAAAAACAAATCAACGAGAGTCAGCAAGTGAATGCCAAATGGTGAGAAAAGAATACAAGACACAAACCCAGAGGAATGCAATGCTTTCTGCTGTAGAAATTACCCTCAATAGTCCCATTCTCAAAGACAATTGTAATTTAGAGTCTGTAATTTTAATACGTGTACCATTTAATTTGAAAACGTGATGGGTATTACAATTTTTAATCACATTCTTAAAATATTGTTTGACAAGCAGGCTTGCCTGTGTGGCAAGTGGCATTAGAAACAACAAAAACAACAGATATTGTTTGAAAGATTAGTTCAAGCATGAAATTAAAATCCCTTTTTGAAGCATTGAAGTATTTTATCTATATCACATCTATTTCATCTGCATCCATCATAATATCCACTGTTTAAACAGCCTATCCAGAAGAAATCATATTACTTTTAGCTTTTACAGAGAGAATATTTTCTTCGAATGTATTCAAAATGTAACAATATGCTCCAGACATTTCAATTCGGGTTTTAAACTGTCATGGGTACATAAATAAAAATAATTCAATAATGTCTTATTTTCAATTGAATGTCCTTTTAAATTCGTTTTATTTTTGAATTCATGTATTGAAAGGTTAAGGAATTTATTTCTTTAAGCAAAAAAATAAAAATATCAGACAGTCAAACGTAAAATGCAATTTCCTTATCAAATAAATGAATCAAAATTGAAAATTCAACATGATTTTCTCATCACAAAATAAAGAAAAAAAAACAAAATTGATGCGAAGAAGACTTCCCTTTTTTCAAACTTATTGAAATCATCACAAATTATTGAGTTATTAGAGTCAGTACTTAATTTTTAGTGCAATATTAAGCATATAAAACTTACCTTTTTTTCTAAACTTAAAGTTCAAAATAATACTCCTGATGAAGTATGATAATAAACTTTTGACAAAAATGAAAAATAAAAGCATCCAAGCAGTTTTCATCTACAAATGAATTGACAGTTAAAGTTCGGCTTAAAAAAATTCCCGATTTTAGCTGTTGCATAAGAAAAACCCCGAAATATTTTAACTTTATCAGCAAACTTCACGTGGATGATTTTGACTTGAAGAAAAACGTTTGTAGAGAAAAATACAAATAAAAAGAAGGAAGAAACAATGATTGAATTCATTTAAACCAAAAAACACTATTGTCAGATACGCCAACCTATCCAAACAAAACACCACTTAAAATATGCAAGAAGACTTAAATTCAAGGGCTGCATGCAATTGGTTTAAATCGGGTTTAAAGTTGATTTTTAGACCCATTGATAACCTTCAGCTAGCACCAGAGTTACTTTAACTGATATTAATTACCTTTGAGATATCCAGAATACTGTTAATTCTTGCCTCTGCTGAATATCCTAAAAATAACACTTTATAACTTTGAAAAATGAATATATACTCTTTTAAATATTTATTATTTTGTGCTTTTAAATTAACTTTTTTTTAAATATTAGAATAAAATAACATTAAATGAATTTTTACACGAATTCACTGTGAGGACGTTTAAATTTACTATTAATAATATATCTGCATACATAGTAATTTTTTTTGGGATTTTTATCTCTACTTTATGATAAAAACTTAATAAGTTAAATTTTTTAAATTTATTAAAAAAAACAAATTAAGAATTGAAATAAGTAAAAAGTGTTATAAATTAAAAATAATAATATATACGTTATAAAAAGGCTTATTTCTTTGTTTTCTTTTAGATGTAGATCAGTTACTTTCGAATATTGAAGAATTGGCATCTGTTCTTGAAGATATGCGCCAGAGCATCGAAGCTCAGGTAGTATTTCGTATGTGTTATTTCATTAAATAATTTCTCTAAAGCCTTAACATAAGTTCTTAATGAAGAAAATGTTTTTCGGAAAGAGTTAATAAGTTTAAGTATTCGAAAATTATTTTTTATTCTTAGACTGAAGCAGTTTATTGTTTCATCTGAAGTACTCGATTTCAAATTCAGCATCTGTTATTTTAGCTCGTTTTAAGTTATACGCATAGTTTTTATTATGATAGTGTAGATCAATTTTTGAATTATTTTTTCTACTTTTTTATCAAAAAATAAGCTTTTAAATCTCTTTATATCACTTCAAATTTCTAATTATACATGCAATATAAAATAACTTAAAATATGCCAAACATCGCAATTCTTGCAAAATCTGCTTCATTGGTTAAAAAATATGAATGGGCCTTTTTTAACTAAAACAAGCGTTTACGATAATAAATAAAGTGTTTACAAGAGTTACAAACAAATGTTTAGTAAAAAAATATAGCTTATCAAACTGGACAGATTTGAGTTATCTCAAATCATACTAATATTGTTAAAATTTTCAACTATTCAAATAAGTTCATAATAAGTAATTTTCATTTTTACCAAACAGCATGGCAATTAAACCATTTTCTGTTGTTAATTTTATAAAAAATCATTACCAAAGCTCTACGGTAAAAGTTACCATAATTTTTAGTGTTCCCATGGAGCCAGAAAACTGTTAAATTTTACCGAATTCGGGAAATTTGGGCCATACTTTTTTCTCATTATAGGAATAACATCAAAGAAATATTTAAACTAATGTTAAAATATTTTCAAATAAGTTTATCTTTATAACACACATAAAATGCTAAGTAAAAGAAAATTTTTAGTATTCTAAAGACATTTGCTTCTGCTACTGAACCTTTTTCAAAAATGTTTCTTTCAATTGAGGCTAGAAATGAATTGATTAGAGCACCAGATGGCAGAGCTCTTCGCGTCTTTCAACAATGAATCCTGATATAAAGGACAAATTTGAAATCATTGCATATGCACAATATCCTCTCAGAGTAATTCCGAGTGCAATACAAAGACTCGTCATTCGAATACAAATCTAGGCACTTGCGTTCCAAAACTGCATTACCCATAAACAATTTATCTTTGTTTCCCACATTTGAAAATATATTAAATGAAGAATATAGAAGAATCTCTAACGAAAACTTCTATCTCAACTATTTTTTATTGTTAAATTATACCTACATTATCTTCTAAAAATATGTAAATAATCGTTAGTAAAGTGCATTTATGAAAATAAATTTCAAACGTTTTATCTAGAAAAATGTTTCGAAATATATGTTTGCTACTTAGTTATACAGGATGCAAAAAATATCTCAATTTATCGAAATTCTGAAAAAGAGACTTTGACTAAGTATAAATATTAATTTTTTTATTTAAATTATACCGCTTTTCTTTCAAAATGCAACAATACGATACAAGACTGCTCCTTAACCGCTTAAAAATAAACAGTTTATAACTGAAATCTTTAAAATCTGTTAATAATAATTTAAAATTTACTAAAGTTTATAAAAGTTTGTGACAATGAAATCTTTTATCCAATGTATATGTTATAAACAGTTAATAAGTTTTTATAATCATGATATGTGATACTTAACAGAAATTACGTCGAATATTTCCCTAAAGGGAGTAATAATTAATTTTCAAGTAATTAAAGAAAAATAAATTTTCTAGTAATTAAAATTTACTTTCTAATTAGGCAGAATACTTTGACTGTATTTTATTTAACATTTTCGTTTTTGAAAGATTATTGCATAAACAGCAATAACAGTTACAGCAATTACGAATGTGATAGTCGTTTAAAAAATTATCTTTTCATCTATGTTTTAATCCCAAAATGATAAAACTTTTTTTCATTTCAATAGACGAAAGAAACAAAACTTTTAAGAAATACATTGGAGCGATGTGAAATGTGTCATGGTAAGTAATTTCAATATTTTTTATTTTAGTCTTACTTGCATATTTTTTATTAATATTAAGTTTGATTTTTAAAATATAAAAGAAATATCAGTTCTACAAAATTATAACAAACTATTTTGTAGGTTTTTTACACACGTAATTTGAAATAAAACAATATGACTAAACTTATGCAAGCAGCATTATTTGAAAATATATGTCAAAAAAGCTCCTTAATGTTCAAGCACTTACAAGTATCAATTCTCTATGAAAAGTTTAACTAATGAACCTCTGATTTTTATCATAATATTTATTTTTTAATTCCAATAATAACACTTTTTTCAAGTATTATCATGTGATAAATATGTATTACTTATTTCCGTGATTTTTTTTAACTCATTTACTTAAAATTTACATTTCTTTTAATCCTTTTTTCAAGAAAGACACTAATTATTTTTTTTCCTTACAATAGATTAGTAAGGAAATCTTTAATTCTCAAAATAGAATAAAACCGCATGAGAAATTTTAATTACTGAACTATAAAAAACATTCATTTTCGATGACTAAGGCAAACCCAGTTTACCAAAATACGTTTGCATATAGAATTTTCCGTTTAGTTTTGCCCTTCGCCAAATCGTTTAAATTTAACTAATATAGCTTATATCAGTGCATTTAAATTGATTTTCGATAAGTATCTAAACAATGGAGTTTTACATTATAATGTGTGCTGACAGCTTTCCAATTACAGTTTTTAATTAAATTTTAACCTGAGTAGCCCGGAAATGCGATATTGTTATTTTCCCGCTTTCAATCATTTCAAAATATTCGATTTTGTTGCAAAAATTATTGAATTAAGAAAAACATATTTTTTAGCATTAATTCATGTCTGAAAAGAGCATGAATTTGCGCATCAGGTGGTTCATTGGGGGAGGGGCTAGTTAAGTTATACTTTTTACAGTTACCATAACCACTTAAATTTATTTTAATTCTCATAAACAACGTATTTGGGTAAAAATTTAATTAAAAAAATAAAATTTCTTGCGCAAGGAGCTTTTCGGTTACCAACAATTAAAAACCATACTTTTGGCTAAACTAATAACGAAGAAAATAATAAAACTAATTATTATTTTCTTCGAAAACTTTGTGCCCAGATTGCGACTAACGCTATTAATATTCTGTTAAAAATTGAAAATGTTCGAATAAAAATTGCACCCTTTTGTTTTTAATGTCATTTGTCCCCTTAAGTTGGGTTACCAATTTCCATACATACTTTTAAATTTGATTGGTTATTCTATAATAAACAAAATATACTTGAAATCTTAGTTATAAACAAGTTTTATCCATACATATCTATTTCATTAATTTAAAAACAGTAAATTTTTTTTCAATACCAGTTATATAGCCTCTAACTTTCATCCAAAAAAATAAATACATGACATATTTTATTTTATAACCGTAATTGAACAGCCGACCCAATTTTTTGGGATTACGACTCCCAATGTTCAACTCCTTAACCTTGATATTTTAAACCCTATACAGAAGACAAGGGAACTCCTGGAACATGTATTGAGAGAAATCCGCCTTCATAGAGGACTTTTTGAGGGAACTGACCCACATTTGCGTTACAGGGAGAGGAAAACCACGAAAACCTCCGGATGGCATGGGAACTCTAACCCATGATCTTTCCACCACTGAGGATATTTTACATTAGCTCGGTGGTCGGTGTAAGCTGGGTGCCGAGTTCGTATCGACCAGTCATCGCTGAGATTCGAACCCGGCTTACCCCACTGGAAGGCAAATGCTTCATTACCCGAGCCACTACGGCCCATTAAAACATATTTAAACCTTTTTCAAATATTGTATTAATGTCCTCTCAAAGGTATTGCTATAAATTACTGCACTCCTGAGTTATATACCGTTGACCACCTAGTACAATCAATATCTCTCGAAATATAATTAATATTAATCTTATACCCCTTAAGGAAAATGCAAAAGGCTTGCTCATTATCGCGTTCGTAGTTGATTTCGGAATATCATTCTGTTCTAGTGCACAAGCTTTGTCGTGACAATCCGTGTTACCCTGGAGTGGATTGTGTTGATTCTGCTGATGGATATCGCTGCGGAGAGTGCCCAAGAGAATTCAAAGGAGATGGAGTGAAGTGTGAAAAAGATATCAATTGCAATGATAGACCCTGCTATAAAGGTAGTCATATTAAATATATTAAATACACCTGAATTGCAATGGAATAGATTTTGCTGTTTTATTCTAGCAATGTGGGAGAACTAATCTGGATATTTCTATTCCAAACTGAAAGTAAGGTTTTGTTGAAGGACTGTATAGGGTGCAAAAAAGTACTGAATAATATTTTTAGGAAAACTAATAAAAATTGTTAGGTGTTTTTTAAACAAATTATAATTTCAAAATTTTAATTACAGGAGAAACATGAAATGAATTGGGTGAAATGGATTAATTTAAAACTTATTTCTGCTTATTGCGTATTATAATTATGTGGAAAATATCTGAATCCCATTTTTAAAAAAAAATGCTGCCTCATCCAGCTTTAAATAAACTCACCTCAAATTGTGGGAAGGACAAATTTTTGCTCTAATATTTCACAAAAATGCAATTTTTAATGAGATTTGTTAAGTTTGATAAAGCGGTTTTTTGATATTGCATTCAAGTTGCGAATATGTACATTACTTTTGTTTCATGTAAATGCACTTCAGGATTTGCAGACTCAATGTTTTTTTTTGTATAAAAACATCTAGCAAATTGTGTTTAGAGACATAAAGATGTTCTTAATAGAACACAGTAAGTAAATTAGGACGAATATATATTGCTCTCAAAGTTCGATTTATGAAAGCATTCATTGATGACTGCATTTCTTAAGGTGAGCCTTCATAAGCTATAATAACTAAAATTCGATGTATGAAAGCATTGAACGAGTGAAAATTTCAATATTTGAAAGCATTGATTGTTTACTGCATTTCTTAAAATAAGCCTTCAAAAACTACATTCTTTGAATTTTGTGTCATTAATTGTTCTTTTTTTATAAGTTCACATTATCTTCAGCGTCTCTATTTCTGATATTCTTTTTAACAAAGCAGGAATGGCTTTTTTCAGCGTATTTCCATGCTGTTCGAGATAAAAAAAAGAGTTGCGTACTTCAACTCCTGGTTACAAAATACCCAGTTTTAAATTTCTGAGAAAAAAAATTTCAGGGCAATTTTTTATACTCGATTGGAATGTTGATAACTTATTGTGCAATCACTGTGAAATTGAAATTATTTCACCAAAAGAACGTGGTTCTCATTTGAGCTTTTGTTCGGGCCTCAAAACTCGGCGCACGTCCTCGTCCACAGTATAATTTGTTTTTCGTTTTTATCATATGATTTATTTATTTTTTGTGTGGTTATTACACTCTTTAAATCGATTGTTTTATTTAAAACTTCAAAACGCTTGTTATAAAATTAAACAATTCTGTTCTGTACAAACAATAGCATCAAAATAAATTCAATTAATATAATAGTAGTAAATTCAGAAATTAAAAGTTGCCCTGCATTGTTAGTACAAGAAAGAATGGCATATTGCCGTATTCTTTTTAAGGAAATATTTCGAAGTTTAAAATAATCAAAAACACTGCAAAAATACAATATGCTGAATCATTTCTCTTAGAATGGTCTAACACAGTTCTTCCATTGATGTCGGTGGTTTATTGAGCGAAAAATTTCTTAGTAGGAATAAGTTTTCCCACACTGATTTCTATATTGTTTTGATTGGTATCAACATAAAATTAATAAAAGCCATAAAGGTATTGTTTTCCTATAAATATTTCTGTATCTCTTATTTAAAGGTATCTGCCTGTACTCTACCGTGCAATTGAATAAACAACCTAAGTGCTTGACAACCGAGAAAGTGACCGAGACACTTGACAACTTTTCTTCTTCTATTTCTAATAAAAACTAAAATAGATTTTCAAAAACCTGATAAAACGAATTTCATTTTTGGATTTTTTTTAAATGTGAAGTATAAGATGCCAAATAAAGATAAAGATGCCTTATAAAGATGCCAAATATATAAAAATCTCAATTTTTTATTTTTTGACGCTTACGTTGATTTTTTTCAATTGCACCGCAGCACTTCTATTATTACGTTTTTGAATTTGACTGTTTTCTACACTAAGAATTATTATTGTTATTAGTAGTAGTAGTATTACATAATTCTCTGCTACACTTTAAGATAAAATTATTTAAATCGTTTCTTATCTTATTAATCATTTTACTTTTTTTCTTCAAATTACATTATCATTCTATTATATGGTACAGTTAAGGAGATAGCCGGGATAGCCTGGTCGGTAGGGCGCTGGGCCCATGTCCGAGAGTTTGTGGGTTCGAACCCCACCGGCCGAAGACTCTCCGTGTAGTAAATTGACTGACGCACGTTAAATCTGTCGAGTCGCAAAAGTCCTCCATGTTCCCATAACAAATCAATACTTCTGGGGTTACTGGATTGGAGATCGATCGTTCTCTGATTCAGGTCAAAATTACGATCTGTGGATGAATGAATGGATGTATGAATGGGTCCTCCCTATAAACGGGTAAGACGTATGGTGTGGCAGAAGTCGAATTCTTGGCCATAGATGGCCCCACTGGAAAACAAGAACTATCGCACCCCCTCTGCCTAAAAACATCAGGCATACGTCAACAGTTAAAGAGATTCGTTAAATGAGAATATAATGATCAACTGCATGCATGCAAAAATTTTATTTAAAATATTCATCAGTTTGGCAAGCGGAAACGGAAACTACGATTGTGAACTCTCCAAATTTGTTATAACTATATACTTTTAGATTTTAAGTATTATTTTAAGAAGTGATTGCTTAGAAAAATTTCTTATGTTCACGAATAGATCTTAATAGAATCATAATAGAAATATTTGAATGTGAGAAAGGGGGGAGGTGCACAAACGTAAGAAAACGTAATTCTTTTTAGTACATGTATTTTTAGTACATTTATTTTTAGTGAATAACTTCATCTTTCGTAGAAAAACTGTTTTATGGCATGAAACAACAATTATTGTGAACCAATCATTGGAGTTGGTGTGCAGTAGCAAACAGCCCAATTTGTAAAGCATGTAATCAATAGGAATATTTCCTTTTAATAGCTTCTTCTGTTTCCCAAACAATAACCATCTCGCCAAATTTGAAAAGAACCTTAAATTTTTTACATTGTACATAATGATTTTGTCGCAACAATTTCGTTGGAAACATTTAATTTATTTCCCTTTTTGTAAATAATAAACTGAAATACTTCTTTTTTTTTAATTAGGTGTGAAATGCTTTAATGTTAATAAAGGATACAGATGTGGTACTTGCCCACCAGGTTACACAGGGGATGGTAAAAACTGCACACAAGTGAATCGATGCTTAGAAAATCCATGTTGGGCAGATGTTCCATGTTACAACGTTGAAAAAGATCCCGGATACATTTGTGGACCCTGTCCTCAAGGATTTTCAGGAAACGGTACATTCTGTGAAATTCTTGGTGAGGTAAGACAAACGTTAAACCTGAATCGAGGTTTAATATGAGTTTAAATTTGTTGAACCATATTTATGCCTACTTTTGAGTTAATTAAATAAAAGAATGTACATAAGAAATAACTCGATGCAGTGTTAGGCTAAACATTAACAAAATAAATTTTAAACTTTGAAAATATTTTTTGAATACCTTTCACAACTGGTGTTTTCTTTTTTTAATTTTAAAACATTATGCGTTTTTGGACTTTCAAACATTTTTAATAAAGAAAAAAAAATCAAGTATAAGAAATATTTTCCAACAAAATTTATAACAGGATCAAAACATTTTTAAAAATCACAGTTTTCACAGGTTATAAGTTAACGTTATATAAAACTCTTTAAAAGAGATGGAGTTTTAAATAAAAAGTAGCATGAAAAAATCAACTTTAGTATGAAATGTATAGTCAATCAATATTTTTATAGGATTTCATCGAGTTCGATTATTTAAAAATGTATTTATATTTGATTACTCTCTTGAAAGAAATATAACAATATCAACAGCAACAGCAAAAATAAAGTGGAATCATGCTTATATTGTTCTCTTAGTTCCTTTTTAGTTATAAACACTGCTCATCTTAATTGAAGTAAGAGCCCATCATATTTTTGACTTATTTAACAATTGACAATTTTTATTTAATAAATTTGTTACTTTGTAAATGCAATTTAAATATACCAACATTTTTTGTTTAAAATAAAAACTTATTTTAAAAGTTTAAAAGATATTCAACTCTATATTTAAAAAAGACGAAAAGATTTTAATGCCATTCAAACGAAGCTGAATATCTTCACCATGGTTCCTTATTCGAGATGTGCAGCAGTGAGGTCACATTTTTAGTACTCTCTATTTTGTCTCCCAGTGCACAGTTTTTACAGTGTTTTATTTCCCAAATTCCTAAATTAATAGTTATCAAAAGCATTTTTTTACACAAATTCAATATCGCATGTCCTCAATCTCTATACCTACTTCTGCCAGTCTCTTCTTAGTGGAAATTCTATTAGAAATCGAAACAAGATGCTCCAAAAATGACCAGCACGTAAATAAAAAACGGAAAACAATTTACTTCATTCTGCTTAGGAAATTAGTTTATCTGACATTTTTTTAATTAGTTACGAAGTTTGTTCACAGATTGCCCTGCCACCTTAAAAAAAAGTGTAAAACTATTTTTCTAATAACCAACTTTTCTTATGGCAACAAAGTTGTGTAATGTCAGTACAAAATTAACAGACCCTATTGTTGCAAATGTTACGGTTAAAATAGTCTGACATGCATTAGTACGCATAGTTTTTCCAATCAGTTGCCCCTTCTATTAGCAAATTACTAATTTTAAAATATTATAAAAAAATATACAGTTTCTTTTTTTAAATAGTAACAAAACCGCACATTTTTATTTCCCTCGAATTTTTATTAGTATATTTTGTTTTAAATCACCTCTTCTTTTAGGGGACATACAATAAACAGATGACATACAATAAACAGATGAACTTCACTTCTTGAGAATGAAACATCGCGATGCAAGTCTAAATCCAAGGAACTTTTAAACATGCAATTGCATGTTTAAAAATTCAGTTAAATTTTACTTATATTATAATATTTTATATTATTTTTAAAAATATAAAGAAAAACGTCCCGCTAACTTTTGCGTTGCAAAGAAGGTTGCCTAGTATTGTCTAACAGCAGCTTCGTTCATAGAAACAAGCTAACAAAGTTTAAAAACATCATTTTGATCAAAATATTCTAAAATATATCTTAACGTAGTAAAAAAATCTATGACTAAATTTAAAATCAAAAACATTGAACATTTTTAAAAATTCGTTACATTTACGATCTAATTAAATTTAGAAAAAAACGCTTTGTATAACTATTTTATCATACCTGGCTTTAAAATATTCTAGTTTCGTATTTCCCGTAAAAAATTATTTTTTCTTATTAAATTCTTTCAAGATTTATTTTAGAGTTTGAAATGAAACCGAACCATAACCAATTAATGTGTTTCATGAATCCATTTATTTTTAATATCTATGAAAAGTTTTGTTGTTACTTCAGTTCAATCTTTTTCAATTATATCTGAGAATGATTAATTTCAACTCTTATAGAAACATGAAAAATAAATGAATTGGCTGTAGATTGGTTGACAAACATTTTTTGTAAACTAAAAAATATAATAACCCAGGTAAATAAACAAATTTTCATTCAAAATAGTCGTAATGATATCTAATAATATATAATTTTCAAGCATCAATGTTTTTTTCAAAAGTAAATTGACTTATAAAAATTATCTGTTTGAATATTTTTAAATTAACGTCAAATCTAATGCTAAAATGCATTCGATGTGACGTTAATTTAAAAATATTTAAACACAACATTTAAAAAAATATTTAAAAATATTAAATGACGTTAATGTAAAAGAATTTCCCCCTTCACGTAATTATTGAAACATACAAAAAAAAATTTAACGTAAATTAAAATAGATTATTTTTAAATATTCTACTGTGCAAACTGAAAAAATAATAATAATGTTGTAGTTACTTAATTAAATGTTTCTATTCCTAATTCTAATAACATGTGATCTCGCGATAAATGTGTAAAGTTATTCTTTCGAAAAATAAGAAAAATAATATGTATTAAAAGTTTCATAAACGTGTAATTTAAAAGTGACAAGATAAACTTTAACGTAAACTTGATCAACTTGTTCCATCAATTAAGGTTTACTCGAAACGTTAACACAAAAAATAATTTAATTACTTGTTTCCAATTTCTTGTGTTTTCAACGATTTATTCAGAATATTTTAATCATATTAAGCTTAAACATATGTAAAGCTTTAATTCATAAGGAAACAGATGGGTGTCAAAGGAACACAAAATGTAATTTGTACTTAAGAAGCGTTCATAAAAATTGTGTTCATGTGATAAAATGTCGTCTTAAATTAAAAAATGAAGAGGTTTTTAGAAGAATAATGTAGTCACTAGTATAAAATTATGTATATATATATCAGGGGTGAAAGCGAGACGGAAAATAGGAAAGGCTGGTAGTAAAACCATTTCAGTTATTACTAGTTTTCTGGAGAAGTTTACTTATTCTTTTTTTAAACTATGCTACAATAACTACTTTATCTTGGAAAATTTGCAGTTTTATATATATGCTAAAATTATAAAAGAAATATTGATAGTTACAGATATTTAGTTTTTCTCGAAAAAAATACTAGAATGAAATGTCTTTCATACCAGTTTTTACTCTTTTCCGTCTTGCTATATAAGGACTTTCAGCCCTGATATATATNCAATTTTAACTATTTTTAAGATATATGGGGAAAAGTAGTCAGTGATTTAGGAAGATTAGTAGGGAAGATGGGGTAAGAACGGATAGTAGGATAAAATCGAGTCCCTCGTCGATTGTGCCGAAATTAGTTCCGTTTCCTAAAGAATAAACTCTTAACTGTACTTGAAAATTCGAGAAGAATGACATACCACATTCACATGATGTTTTTGATTAATTCATGGCGTTTGTGCAGATAAGTTTGTTTCACTATATCAATTCTCTTATGTTCTTCTGTTCTTAAACTAGACTTATTTATTGATCATTACAGTTACAAAAGTAATTTTTAGTTCAACTTACTATATGTTTACTAAAGATTTATACTCTTTCAAACAATAAGGATTTAATCCAATAGTGGCAATATTCTATTATGTTACAATAACCTCTGCCCTCAGAGTAAGTCCGGTAAATACACGGGTTTGCCCCTCCTCCTCCCCCTTTCTCAAGAAGATTGAACTCCAAGACAAAATTTATAGCTGCCCTTTTCCTCAAACCGCAAAAAACTTTATTTTCATATTTTGTAGAATTTTTAAAATCCCTATTTCTGAAATCGTAGTTTTTATATGGATATAAAGAAATGCCTTGAATTTTTTTTTTAAAAAAATCTAATCAATCAACACAATATTTGTAGTAAGAAAATTTCGGTCTGGTCCTCAAGAGCCTCAAATTCTGGGCCTATTGTCCCTCTCTCCATTCCCCCTTGAGTATTACCATGACTAGATCACATGTAAATTGTTTCATTAAAATAGAAATTAGTAGAGAAATTCCCACTAATAGAGAAAGCAGGGTGAGCTTTTTCTTGAAAAAAAGCACTTGTTAAAAAAATTAGTGCATCTGTGACTTCTTATGTAAATGATATATTGTACACAACAAAACAATGGTATCTGGTCATTTCTAGGTGAAATAGTTTAACTCCAGTAGGCCTTCTAACCTCAGCTACTCGATCTTACTCAACTTTCACTAAATATTTTTCGTAATTTGAATTACGCAATAAATTATATAATTTGCATTGCAAACGTATTCTTAAAAGTTGTGTCCATTTAATAGACTTTTGTTTAAATTAATTTTGTTTAAATTAATTTTGTTTAAATTCTTAATTTTCTCAATTTTGAAAGTTGTAGATAAGCAATTGTAAAAGTAATTATTCAAATTTAACAACTGGTGCACATCAAGATTTCGGGGAGCACCAATTTATAAAAATAAAAATTGTTAAAATTCTATACACTTCATTTAATAAATTTTCTTTTCTACATGCCCTCATCAATTCTTTAAAAAACCCTAATATTTGAAATCAATTTTATAAAACAAATTCCAAAACAGTATTTGTGTCATTTTAAACTATAAATACTTACTCAAATACGCGACATTTCTTATATTTATTTTAATTTAATCTAATTGTAATTTCAAAATTGTAATATTAAATACTTTTCATTTAGCACTTTTACACAGAAATTAGCATACACAGAAACATACTTTTTTAACATTTGCTTTGTAGGGAATATAGAACACCCAGCACCCATACGAGATATTCTGTACACACCTACCCTAATAAATATTCTCTAGCTTTTTTCAAAATGTCAAAAGTCCTAGAAGTTTATACTCATTGGCGTTAGAAAAACTATTATTCAGGATGCGAAACTAAACAATATCAACACTTGGCATATAATTATCGACGTGAATCAGGTAAATTAAGTGATTAAAAATCATTTAAAATAATTCTATTTCTAAAAAAAAATAATTCTAAATAAATCTTATCTAATTCTAAATTTGAAATAGTTCTAATTCTATAAAATAATTTTATTCCTTTAAAGTCAAACAGCGGTGCTTTTCATTTCTATCCGCACACGAAACTTTCTTTTAAGTGTTTAGAACTCTGTTTTCTTATTAACTTCAATAAGATTCTTCATGTTCTCAGATTTCTATGAAACGTTTAGAAATAAATATAACCCGTTATTATTTCAGATTCAAGTTACGAAGACAAAACTTGGCTGCAATAAGCATGACAAGGATTATCTTTACTACTTTTATCAACGTTCAGCGAAAATTAAATGATTGACAACTGTACAAAATATTTAAAACTGTTTCTTTCATGTGAAATTTTTGTTCATAATTTATGCTGTGTTAAATGCATGTTTGTGCCAATAAAGAAACATTTTGTACTCTAAGACACTACAATTACGCATGTAGTTTTTTTCCCTTCAGTATTTTGCTTCAGGAGTTCACGTATAAACTTCAGTCAAATGCAAACCTATAGTTTCTTTACTAAGGGTTTAAGACTCTGTTCGCTGAAACTCGGCAACCCCAATCGGCAACCTTCTCAATATTTGTTGTTTCTGTGTGAAAAAACAATTTTGAAAGTTGAAACTATTCACTGCAAAAAATTTCTAATCTCAGAGAGATAGTATTCTAGCGTAAGTATACAGTTAAATTATTCATTCATAAATACATTATCACTACGAAATTCAGGATCAAATTACAGCAAGAAGTACCGGCACTCAGGATGCAGTACTTTTTACCATAAAATCCATTCTTACCTTAAAATTTCACAAGACAGAAAATTTTATGCATTGCAAATTTTACAGCAGTACATATAAATAGATTAATTTTACAGCAATACATAGAACAGACGGTAGAAATAGATTTTGCGGCGGCAGCACTTATGGTTCCAGTACTTTTTATCGTAATTTCATTCAGAATTTTTTACAGTGTTTGTAGTAAAAAGAATTCTGTTTGCTTACGCACGTGCATTCACTTCCCACGCCCAAATGTTTCCTTGATGATTCGATTAAGAATTATTAGAGAACATAAATAATTTTAATTATTAGTGATCTTTTTAAATAACATTTAAAATTAAAGATATATTGTTATGCCAAATTTGGTGAGTGCACAGCAGTAATTTAATGTTTTCGTTTTTCAAACAGGCAGATATGTAAAATACAATATGCCTATGCATCACATTGTGCATGAAGCTGATGGAATCTCTTAATCATTTAAATAATCTCTTTAACTGCAATTTATAAAACTATACTAATGTAATTTACTCCAAAATATAATTGTTGTAAAACGGTTTTAGACGCCGATTTAAATTATTTTATTTCGTTTAGCATATTAAGGTAATATCACAGAAAGCTGCTTTTTGTGATCAACAGGGTCACCTTCCAAAATTATCTCGTGCAACATAATAAACGCTAATGATAAACTAAACAGAATGCATAGCACAACTGTATTTAAATATTTTAATTCTTTAACCCCTTCTCCTATCCAAACATGCAAATTAGTTTTAAATAATATATAAACGGAATTTTTTTGCCGTCGTGGAAGTAATCTCATTTCAATTTTAACTATTTTTAAGAAATGCCCACTATATTGTCAAAGTTCTTGATGAATTAAGCTTTTGTAACAATTTATAAACTGTCCGGCAGCCATTAAGTCACACAAACAAGTGAAGTATGAGTACGGGACATTTCTGTATAATAGGTAGCTGAAATATGTTTTAAAATTACTTCCATCTCTGTAGTGAGATCAGACTGAAAACTCATCCCATTGCAGTAAAAAGCTAGCGGAAATGTATCAAATACACCTAATTAGAATCGAGAGAATGGAATGCAACAAATTCATTGCAGATAGAGAAAATTGAAAGAAAAAGTAGAAAAAAACTCTTTTTTTTCAACGGAATCCAAAACTTTAGCAACAATGAACCCCTATTAACCATCTCTGACTCAGGAAAAAAAAAATCTGAATTTCAAATCTGTCATTAGATGTTGAAAAATTAAAATTGAAACCTCTTGACGACGCTGACACAACAAAAGGTAATAATTTTGTACTGGTCGATTTTTTTTTCTTGAAAAGACCAGTTTCGGGCACTACAATGGTAGAGTAGAAGTTGTTTACAGATTTGGGGATTATTATGCTCATTTCTCGAAAGAAGGAAAGATAAAAAAGATAGACCTAGTTCTTCTGATTATGAATCTTTCTTTTTTTCAGAAAAAAAAGATGCTTACCAAATCTCAAAAAAAATAGATACCAAACTTCATTTTCTAATAACTGATAGAATTATCAGGACTACGTCTCAATACATATTTAAGGTTGACATTTGATATAATTAAAAGCAAATTGTAAAATATTTTTCAAATTAGCCAAATTGAATAATGGTTTTCAAATATATAGATTTGCGTTCAAAAAGTCTTTCTTAGTATAATGGAAGGCTCTTTTACCAATTAGTATTTAAATTAAAATATGGGACTATATATTTTCCAATAAGGCTAGATTGAAATTAATTTCATTGTGACTTTAAATATACCTTTCTGAGTAGTAACAAATTACTTTTTAATAAATTGTAAAGTTTGTCCACACTAGCCAGTGTGTAGTGTGGGAAAAAATACATTCTCTTTTTTAAAAAAAGAAATTATTATTATGGTGAAAAATTAAACAGCTGTCTAATTCCAGATCTGAACCAAAATGTAGATTTTTGTCTACTTCGCTATGGTTGCTGAAGTATATCAAAAATTTAAATTTGGACAAAAGAATTCATAAAGAATCATAGAAAACACACCAAATTCTTGATAATGAATACAGTTGGTGGAATCAAGTGTAATGCAGTTAAATAAATATATCTCAAGCGATTTCTCTGTAGAGTTCAAATGTAGGTTTTCGTATGCATATAAAATGCAGAGTTATGCTGAAATTTCAGCAGAATGTAACCTAAAAACTATCTGTAGAAGAAAATTCAGCCCAGATGGTGAGTGAAATTTTAGATATTTTTCTTATAAAACCCACTTATGAAATGCTTGAAAATTTGACTGACTGCTTGTACAATTATTTTAATACTCGGTATTCGTATTTAAACTGATTTTTATAAAAACATTCAATTCTAAAATTGACTTTCAATATTCTGAAAACTTGCTAATTTGAATTAGAATAAGCACATGTTTGGACTTATTTTAAAATATCAACAACCGTGTTAAATTTGAAAAAGAGCAATATACTGAATTAGTGGCTAGCTCGAACACCAAAATCTTTACGATGGAGACTAATCTCAGAAAGTATGGTAGGAAATGATTATTATCAACTTGAAAACAACATTTCAAGCAAAAGAAATTTCGAGTTTTTTTAGATAGATTTAATTCAAAAAATAATTTTAGCCCACATACTCAACTATTTCAGAAGAGATAAGTTAAGTATTAGAAAATATATTGAAAATGTTAAGCAGGCTTATTTTTTCTGAAACGAAGTATAGGCTGGAAAAAATACGGATAATAACTTTAATTATATTAATTTGCTTAAATATGTGTAATAAACTATTAATGAACTGTACAATTATATCAGCTATTGAAAATGAAATATTTAATAAGAAAAATATAAATCTGATATTATTTTTCATCACTCACTTTTCTCATTATCACATTTTTACAGTATTCAAATTATTGTTCAAAATCCATATAACTTAAAAGAAATACGTTGGTCGTTTTCTAAATAATCAAAAATTTAAAAAAAAATGCGTTTAAATTATAGATTTCCATCAAAAATTTTGATTTTTTTATAGTTAAGCGTTTCTTGCATCGGCTTGTTGAGCTAATATATTCGTTATTATTAAATTTTATTACTTGTTTAAAATAGTCCTCCCTCTTGTAAAAAATAAAGAAATATTTAATGAGCCTACGAACACGCTTAAGGAGATTTTTTTTTTAAATAAAAAAATTGGTCAATAGTTTATGAATTTAGAAATTATTGCTAAAGTTTACTTAAATGTGTTTAAAACTATCTTGATCAATTTAAAATTCCTCTCTATACATATTTATAACAATAACAGGGAAATCAGATATTGTCAGATCATGAATAAATATATTTTCTCGATCTAAGAACATAATACTATACCATAAGGATGTTTTAAATTGCATAAGGATGCTTAAATCATAAGCATGTTTTAATTTGCGTCATAAAATTTAAAAAAAAAAGAAAAGAAAAAACACGTTGACGAAACAACTGTCCATTGAAATCCAACTGCAGAGTTGAAATTTGACGAGCTTTAAGGGCCTTTCTTAACTTAACGCAAATGATTTTCCGAAATTCTAATTTGTTTGGAATTTATTGCAATTTTAAGTGAATTTTTTATAAATTTGCGAATGAAATGATCTTTTTTGAAAAGTATCTAATTTTAGGAAGAAAAAAATATAAAAAAGACGAATGAGAGACCATCACAGAGATTAGCAAATGGAAAGAGCAGGTGCCTGCTCTTTCCAAAATAGGATACTCGTTACGTAAGGGGCATCCTATTTTTTTTTTTTTTTTAAAGAAAACGTTTTGTTAAGTATTTTTCTGCAAATATGTAGCCATTGTTGTAAAATACAAAGAAGCTTCTTTTAATAATTACTGTATGTTGAAACAGTTGCTACCCTTTTTTCAGAACTAGTTCTGAAAAAAGGGTAGCAACTGTTTTGACAAGATCATTTATCTCGAAAAAAAGGGGTTTTTAAATGTGTTGTAGAAAAAAACTTTTGCCTCATGAAGGAATGAAAATTAGTCCCAGTAGCATAAATATACAAAAAAAATGCGATGTTTATCAAAAATATTTATTTTTTCATAAATGCTTACCCAAATGTTTACACTTTTTTACTTAATTTTGTATTAACACTAAACCCGGTAGCGAATATCCGGTACACAGCGTTTAAAAATCCTTTTAACTATTAGCCTTAGATGCATCTTAGAAAGAAAAAAATTTCGTCAAAAAATAGAAAAAAATTTCCCCGAAGCATTTTGCGACAAGCTTACTCTGAAAGTGTTATATTGAAAGAAAAATCTGGAATGACTATCGATTTCCTCCTGGGGTAAACTCAAAGTCAAAAGTAACTTCTACCCACTACCTGTGCAATGTTTGGTATTCTTTGTGATTAACGAAAAAAATACTCTAGCTTCAGCAGCTAAATTTGAAATGTGTTTCTTTGAAATCTTACAGGTCGTCGAACTACCAAAGCGGGGGTGCCATCCCCTCTGCAGAGGATCAAAATTATGATGGCATGTATTCGGATCATCCTCAGGGATGCTTTCCACACCGTCGCCAATAACCCATTGTGCAGATCTAGTGCGACGTAAATGAACAACAACAACAACAAATCTTACAAATATACAAAAGCTTGGATAGTTTTAACCAATTTAAAATAAAATTTAATTTCTTTAAACCTAACATAAAATAAAGTCATTAATAGAAATAATTATTTAATTTAATAAACTATATTTTTTAATATTTAAAACAAAAATATAATGGGCAGAATTTATTTGAACTCCTAAAAAGTTTTTTAAATTTGTCTTATAATCAAATTTTTTCGTATATGTATAAAAAAGTATCGCTTTATTGCTTCGTTATAAAGTAAATATGCCAAAGGGTTCTTTGAATTAGCCAATGCAAATTCGCAACATAATATCGGCTTTATTTTTCTTTAAATGTTCTTTTTAAATTATTTTTGAATTCTTTACTTTATCTCCTTATTTCCTTTAATTGTGAAATCCAATTAAAAAGTGAGTAAAGTAATTATTATTTATATTTTTTTAAAACCATAGTTTTCATTTTATTGCTAAACCCAAGTAGCACAATTCACAAAAACGATATCGTAAAAACTTAGCTTTGAACATTGTACAATATCGCAGCGAAATATTGTACTATATAAAAATGGACCCCTTTTATAACGTATATTCAATATTGCAGAACAATATTGTTCGATATTGTGAAAACGTTGGGGAACGTCGATCGACATATCTCTGCATTTACAAACGTTGTACTATGTCGTCCGACATCATCAACACGATATTAAAAAAAAAAATGCTGTGGAATGCCGACAATCTCCAAAATTACGTTATTTGAGAAAATAAAAATTAGTTATTGAAAATATTCATGCCTGTTTGTAACCTGGAAAAAGCTGATAACAAAATCGTTCTAGCTTTTTTAAAATTAAATTATTTGTTATTACCAAAACTTATAGAATTTTTAAGTCTGCAGCTTAGTTATTAATATTTAATAAGTTTGGGTAGGCAGGTCTATTTTACTATTATTCTAGAAAATAAGCTAGAAAGTAAATAGTTTTGTTAAGATATTTCTTCGCTTTTTCAGGGTACAAGCAGCCATTTATACTGTGAAATAATTTTAATATTTTAAGTGATTTGTGCAATCATTNTAAATATGCCAAAGGGTTCTTTGAATTAGCCAATGCAAATTCGCAACATAATATCGGCTTTATTTTTCTTTAAATGTTCTTTTTAAATTATTTTTGAATTCTTTACTTTATCTCCTTATTTCCTTTAATTGTGAAATCCAATTAAAAAGTGAGTAAAGTAATTATTATTTATATTTTTTTAAAACCATAGTTTTCATTTTATAGCTAAATAATAAAAAATCTCTTAATTTCATTTAATCATTGTAGTGCAGTGTAGTACTGTAGTGTAAGCAACAATATAAATTATACTCATGTGTAAATTATTATTATATTACAATTACTAATAATTTTGAAAATCCTGACATTAAGAATACAAAACATATTAGACAACTTTAAGAATACAACAGCTACTATTAAATGAAAAATGACTAAATAAAGAAAAATCATGAAGGAATTTTCATGATTTTGTAAAGGGAAAAATAAAGTATTATAAAAAAATTGTGAAAAATCAACAACTAAACTTTATAATAAATAGAAGGAAAAAAAAGAAACCACTCAAAAGTCGAAAGTAAAAGGAATTCATTAATAAACAAGAAAACAATAATGTTTTTGCTCAGAATGAATTTGTATCGAAAAGTATCTTTTCGTGCCAAAAACTGATGGTATAATTGTAGTATTTATCATCGGCATCAAATTGCATTGAAATGTTCAGCTTTTGCTTTCCAAATCATCATCTATTATGGATGGTGTTTTCAATAGAAATGTAAACAATAACGATCTCGAGCTCGGCACCTACTCTTGTTCCGGTTAAAAAGTTTGCAGCTGCTTACTAAATGTTATTCTGATAGGCGATGTTTTCAAACGGATAATTTTGTTTTCAATAAAAGAAATAAATTAGATAATGTCTTAGCTCAAATCTGCCATATTTCATAAGATATTAATGTTAGTGAAGGTGAGTTTGAAGTGAAAATTTATTTTAGTTTTTTAGAGATATATTGTTTAAAAAGGTGACATGGTTGCTAGATTTTGAATAACTCTCTTTTTTGGCAGTCTTGATATGGCATCTTTTCATAAGTTTATTACTGTTTGTTCTTGTTGCAAGCTGTGCACCATCTTACGTTAGTGTTAACACTTTTAGCATTATAAACACCAGTATTGTTAGCATTATAAACACAAGTAATAAGTAATATTATACATTGTTTGCAAGAATCTCAAAACACAATGATGCCAAATGGTTTTAAAATTCATCGGAACCAGTAACCCGGAAATTTAGGCGGTACCGAGCTTGCAGCGTTCCCTAGTGTAGAAAACACCATCCATAAATATAATTAATGAGATAATTGTTGTCTTAAATAAAAGCATATGTCGTTATGAGAAAAGAATTTTTATAGTTTTTAAAAAAATCTTTAAAAAAATTAAATTTTAAAATGCAAAATTGAACTTTATAAATATTTTGTTATGACCTCTCTTAGTGTTCCATTTATGTTTGCTAGATGGCGCTTTCCCTTACATCTTATTATTCTTCACTGCTCTCCTCCAAGAGCTTTTTTCGCCCTCTTCTGGCATATTTTGCCTGTACATCAGCAGGAAAATTTTCCACTTGCGTGCGTTTTTGAGAAACTTGATTTTTCACAGGATTAAGTGAAATTTTTTTGTTTGTTTGTATATCATTCATTTGCTAAAAAGGTTTACTACGTTAGCTGATAAAGCATTACATATTTACTGTCATAATTGCGTTTGAAATATACAATGTTTTTATAACTTTGTACGCTAGCATAACAGAAAAATGAGCAAAAATTTCGGTAAAAATAAATTAAATCTTAAGCTACCGCCCAGTGCAATTGAAGTCAGTAACAGTGAACCTCCAGGAACGGTAGAAGCAAATAATGAGTAAGTCAGCATATGTTTTATTGTATCTAAACAATAGTCACTTTTATTTTGCTTATTCTTATTACTCGACATAACTGTGATGTGTCTTGAATGCGGAAATTGAATTTTGTATAGTGTAAAAAACTTTCAAAAATGAGATGTCAATTGATGTGGGTATTTTTTTTTCTTCATGTAGTGCAATAGTTTTTTCTAAACAATTTGACATCTCTTTAATTGTTTATTTTTACGCGATATAAAAGCAGATATATTCATCTCCATCTGAATCTCTCCTCTTTAGATATATTTATCTTAGCTAATATAGTTTATTTTATAATTCAATGTTAAAATTGCATCTTTGACATTATAGAATAAAAACATGAATGTGAAAGCTGGAAACAAATTTAATTTCATATTTGTACTTATAACAACTGTAGGTACATTCAGTTAAAAAGTAAAAAAAACATTTAACATATTTTTATATTTAAAAATTATTTCTATGCAAATGCTGTGAAAAAATATTTGTTCGTAGTTAGTATATTATGCTTATGATAAATATTTTATTAAACAACTTTTCATAATTATTGTGTGAAATTTAGTATATTAAATTGACTGTGATGTTATGCATTAAAATACATCTTAATGTTATTTGTATTTCCGGTATTCTTCTCTAATTTGGGTTGTCATAGCATAGTGCACATTGCTAGTGCTACCTAAGTAGTAATGCACACATCCATCAGTCTTGTCTTTATTGTACACCAACAGTAGGTACAGCTCTAATGTAGTGTTGCTCAACCTTTTTAGGAAAAGAGCTGAAAATATTAGCTTGAAAGGTGCCAGTATGTTTGTGGGTTATTAGTAATATTTTAAATTTTCTTATTAGGATTTCTGTATGGGTACCTGTGGCAAATTAATCACTCAGTTTTGGTGATAACTTTACTGATCAGACCGTAGCATGTAAGAAACCAAATAAGAAAAAGAACCATAGAAGGGAATAAAACTTAACTCATTCCAGGCAAGCCATATCAGGGGATATTTTCTTAACTATATCTACATCAAATCAGTCACCAAGTTTTAGTGAATTCCAGACAGTGGCATCTCAGAAACTTAGAATAAAAACATCACAGAAGAGGACCAATACGAAAGTCTGTTGGAATTATTCATTGCCCACTTCTGGCAAATTATTAAATTTTTTTGCAAATGCGAAAGTAGTTTAGTCCCTTAGCTGTGATAGTTGGCACTAACAAATCCTTTGAGAATATCCCTTTGTCCCCAGAAGCAGAAAGTGCCTAAAACTGTGACGCACGTCGCAGAACAAACGAAGTCCTGCAGAACAATTATTGTATCTTGAATAAGTGACAGCATTTTCCTGCGAAAAGGCTGTCCCTTATTGAAGATACAGATAGTCAAGTTTTTTTTAAATGATATTTGAAAAAGTAACAAATCAAGAATGTTTGCTTTGGTTTAAAAATAATGTAGCGTATCTGTGTATGATCCTGCATTTTAATAAATGAAAATATAGTATTTTAACGTAAAGTAAGACTTTTTTTTCGCCGTGAAATGCATGCATAACATTTGTATAATTAATAAGCCCTGTTGCAGAACATTTGAAAATATTCTGCTTATGGGCCTTTGTCTGCATCTGGCTGTTGGGCCACGATATGTCATTATGCACCCATGCTTACTGTGTAATTTTGGTCAATTAAATCCTTAATATAAATATAGTTGATTTCTGTAGACGAATTATGAACTGGATTGAATTCATCACATAATTTTAAAATAAAGCATTATAATTAATGGTCGTTTATAAAATGGTGGTTGTCCCAGAAGCAGAAAGTGCCTAAAACTGCGACGTACGTCGCAGAACAAACTAAGTCCTGCAGAACAATTTGTATCTTGAATAACTGACCACGTTTTCCTGCGAACAGGTTGGAGGGGGGGGGCTCCTACCTGCCTCCGGTAGTCTTGCAGAACAATCCCCAACCCTAATCACGTACATTCTTCTGTGGACCATAATGACCTGAAGGTTTAAAAGCTTTCCCTCATAATCTTGCCGAACATTTCCTCCTACCTCAGTCAGAAAGTATGTTTCGAGAAGTTCCTCTGCCAGATTTGCCTGCTAGCTCCAAAAGACTTCGCTCCGTCTAAAGCAATTCTGAGTTTTCTATATTTTCCTCAGATGCAATGCAAATGATAATCTACATTGATTCCATGTTGGAGCAGTACAAAATATATTTTGAAAAAGCGGGAAACATTGATATTGTCATTAAACGAATGAAAATTCTCTTCAGCTTTGACCACTTGCTGTTTTCCAGTTGCTTTAGAAGAGGAACATTTGACACCTTGCACAGATTTCAGCACATTTATCAGTAATCTATCTTGCCATTCTGAGGACGAAATTAGAATTAGCTTTTGGCTATAACATTTTTATAAAATGGATGTATCAGTTTTTAGCAGACAGCAGGAGAAATCGATTACCATTTTTATCAAGAGAGCTTCTAAAGCAAGCCGTAAAAGAATTAAATTCAGAGATTTCCAATTTCATAAAGTTCATGACTTTTATATTTTCTATTCCCATTTCGGAAGCTATTTGTGAATCGTGAGGATCCACGATTGACAGAATCATTTCTAAAAGACCAAATGCTTTCGATGGAGATGAAGTTGTTGGAACAACAGACCAGCGAATGTTTGTGCTTGCAAATGATGCACCACCTGAGCACTTGTCCCTTCAGAATATTTTTAAGGCAGCCCTTATTTTAATGTTCGGACCTTCATATCATAGGCATTTTATTAATAATTCATCATCGTCATTAACAAAATTTTGCACTTCAAAAGTGATTGAAAAAGTAACAAATCAAAAATGTTTGCCCCTTGGTTTAAAAAAGAATGTAGTGTACCAGTGCATGATCCTGCATTTTAATAAATGAACATATAGTATTTTAACGTAAAGTTGGCTTTTTTTCGCTGTGAAATGCTTGCAGAACATTTGTATAAATTAATAAGTCCTGTTGCAGAACATTTGAAAATATTCTGCTTATGGGGTGGTTGTGTTCTTAGGTTTACAAGTAAAGCATTTAAGTTGTATATTGTTATTGAAAATCTTAGACCCTCAATAGTCTGAGACAAAAATAGGTGGGAATCATGAAATGTTATATCGTTCAACTGATTGTTCGCTTTTGATTATTTAGTACCTTTTGGAAACTTAATACAATCCCTGTGGCAGAAGTTGTTCAGGCTTTCTATGACATACCTCTCTAAAAATAATATCTTTCTTCAAGTTACTTTTAAAAATAAAAAAACATACATGCTATTAATTTAAAGTGACAAAATCATCAACTTTTAATTAAAAGGAGGAAAAAAAAAGTTTTGGAATTAAATAAAATAATTTTTTTAATTCTAATATTTTTTGAATTCTAATATTATGGGAAATATTCTTTTATTTTGTAGGGGGAAAACACACAAATTATTTCCTTTTTCGCATTTTGTAAATCATTGTATATAAAGTATAATAAAAAAATAGTTAAACCCGTTGCATTAACTACCGAAAAAAAGATTGGCGGCAAAATCATTCAAATCGGACTCTTCCAAAGTAGGGTTAGGCACTAAATCCGTTTTTTTTTAAGATTCAGTTGCTGAAATAAATAATGTATTAAAAATATCAGATTTTAAAAGCTTCTGGAAATCAATAGTAATAACCACATAAAAAAATAGAATGAAAATTTATGTAGAAGAAAAATCTAAATTTTTTACTTCATTATTCTCAAATAAGAATAGAAAAATCACAAGCATTTTTTTTCCACTCAGATGAGCGAGTAAGGCATCTTTTGAACATAATTCTGTTGAAAAGATAAAATCTTTCAAAAATTTCTGCAAAAGAGGAAACCAAAATTTTTAACTTCCCAAAGGAAAACTCTTTCTGCAAGAACTTGGTAACATTCATCGACAATGTCGCCACATATCTGCCACAGAGAATACAATTATCCTTTTAATTTTTTGTATCAATGACAAATTTCACGAATTTTTTAATGTGAGAAATTTTCTATTAAATGTGATATATTTTATATTTTAAAATAGGCTCTCCTGTTCGAAAATAAAATTTTCAAATGGTATTGAAAAACTGCTAGTTTTACTGCTAGTTATAGTGTTTACTTTGAAAATTATCTTGTATGAATATAATATTTTTGCCAAATTTTATTGGCAGTTACTGCTTTACTTTATTTATACTACATTTTATTTATTTATTTTAATTTTATTTAGATCAGTTCTAGACACAAGTTTTGAAGCTTTGCAAAAAAGTTTAGAAGGGTTAGAGCTAGATGATCAACAAAGAAAAAGGTTAGAAGCCTTTCTAACTCAAAAGCAAAAAGTTGGTGAACTAATCAATGAAGATTTGGAAAATTTAGGTGAATTAGGAGCTGGTAATGGAGGAGTCGTAACCAAAAATTTACATAAACCAAGTGGACTCATAATGGCTCGTAAAGTATGTCATAAAATTTCGTTGTACTAATCATAATTATGTTGTATATTTTTCTAATATAAAATCTATAAAATATTTTATAGTGCTTCGCTTTTTCTATTTAAATTTAATTAATTTGACAGAGGTCCTATATAGCTAGTTATTTCTTGTTAAATTAGAAAAGTTTTATACACTAAATTTTTATTAGGTATTATACTATTTTAGATTTTTGACTAATTTCAGACTTTCAGTTTCGTGGCATTATTTCAGACTTTATCGGTTTTGACTTTATCAGTTTTGTTACATTATTTATGATTTTCCTGCCTGTGTTAGTATCTTAAAAAAAAAATTAACAATATTTTATTGTGTTTCAATTAGAAGTTTTTTGTATTGTTTTAAACAGTTTTTTTTTAAACAATTTGCTTTATGGCAAGTTATGCATTGCTCAAATTAAATAGATTAAGTTTTATTCTCTAAATTTTAGAATTTAATTAATATTTTTAGACCTAATTTATATTAGCTTTCTGTGTGGATTACATATCTTTTCAAGCTTCCAAAGTGGAATATAACATTACCCATTTTGCTTATATAACAAATATCTGTTTGTTATGCACTTTAATCTGACGTGAAGTTCCAGTTATAGATTTCAAAGTTTATTTGTTAAATGTTCTTTTTAAAACACTGAAAAATACAAGATGTTGGAAAGGCATAAAATAATTATCATTTGCCTGTTTAATAATAATTATCAATCATCTTTGCACTGCAAGTTGAGAAAATTTTCTAAAAATTTCTTTTTAGCAAGATTTATTATTCTATTTTCTTCATCACTATTTTTTTACACTAATGTTTGAATATTTAAAAAAAAAAAAAAAAAAGATAAGCAAATGGTTTTAGTGCATCTTCCACGAGCTTCTCATGTGTCTATCAAAATTAGCATAAGGATGAAATAAATATTAAGTTTTGTGCCAGTTAAGTTTCATTTCAGAGCCGTGCATTCAAACATTTTAAATTTCCACCTCACTATCACAAATCTCCCTAATGGGTTGTATTTTTGAATAATTATTAAACTCATTAGAATTAATTTATATTTATAATATTTTATAAAGAAAAATGAGCAAAAATACATAGTGCTTTTTAAATCAAGTCTATGGGGAATCAACATTGTACTTTAGTTGCTTGCAGTAATTAAAATTGAGAGAATCTGTTGGAGGTAAAAATTGTTTTACTTCATTATAAGATCTTTGTGTTGCTATTTTCCCATCTATTCAAAAAGTTAGCTTTAAAAAAAATTACCTTTTTTTTTAAATGGTTATAATAAGAAATAAAACCCATTTTGATTTAGGTTTGTAAGTTTGTGAAATTCAATATTTTAAATATCTTCTTGCAGCTCATCCACTTGGAAGTTAAACCAGCTATCAGAAACCAAATAATCAGAGAACTGAAAGTTTTACATGAATGTAACTCACCCCATATTGTTGGATTCTATGGTGCTTTTTATAGTGATGGTGAAATCAATATTTGTATGGAATATATGGTGAGCATGAAATGCATTAGTTTTTTTTATCAATAAATTATGAGCTTAGTATTATAATTGTAAATTATTGACAGAAACATTTTCTTTGCAAGTTATTATGAAGTGTATCCTGCAGACTAGACCTCATTATTTAAAAAGAAATTATATTAAATGTTTCACTGCTTTTATTTTTTATCCTTAGCCAGAAAAAAATTGATAATTTGTAATTGTTTAAATGTATAAAATAAATTATGTAGATTTCTATTAGATATTTCACTGCTTAAATGAAAAACATATTGATTGTAATGCTAATACATATGTAAATTAGCCGTTACATGCATTGAAAGAGGAAGAGGATAAAAATATTTACATCCAATCTTTATGAAATGGAATAAAAGTTAATAAACTGTTTTATTTATTTAGAAAGGATTGGAATGATTAAATATGAATTATGAAGGAAATTAAAATAAACTAGAAAATATGTAATGCTTACAATGCCGTGGCATTAATGTATTTTTTTCTTGCTAAAATCTGCATTTTTTTTTTTTTTTTTTTACTATGTGGTTTCTAGACATACATTTCAAAACCTTAAAAAGAAGACGAAAAATTCAATGTCTTCTTTTAAGTATGCAACAAATAATATTTTTAGCATATCAAACTAACGAAAGTCTAATAATTACTAACTAAAAGATATTGATATTACAAATTATTTGTATTCATTATAAATTTCTTAACTTTTATACTCCAGTATTATAGGTTTTACAACTTATAGTACTTATTTCTATAACTCTTTATCTGTGATGTTGTTTTTGTGAATTCAATTCTTAATTTTATTGTATCATTTTATTGTATTTCTTATCCTAGGATGGTGGATCTTTAGATTTAGTGCTGAAAAAAGCTGGCCGTATTCCTGAGCCAATTTTAGGAAAAGTAACAATTGCTGTAAGTTGTATTCTAAGTTTTTATTTTTGAAATAAGTTTTTGTGATAAAATTTCTTAGACTGAGTTCATAAAAATATAATGGTACTGTTAAAATCTTTTGTTTTAGTGCTACAGTAGATGTCTGTCTTTAAAATGTTTTTCACTATATATTTCAGTAATATCTTAACATTGAATATTCAAGCAATGTAAAGCTCATATTTTATATTGTTTTTTACAATGCTACAATTGCTTTCATCTATTATTGTGATAAAAAATTTAAGTTTAAGTAGGAAACTTAAATTGCTATATGTAATAATTTATTTTTTCAAACCTTAATATAGAATTTATGTCCAGGTGATCTAAATTGATCTTCTTTTATCTTTTTTATCTTGGAATTAATAAAGGGCACTGTTTTTATGGTTTTCATAGTCAAAATTTTTTCAAAATCTAGACTTTTATTTCTTTACGCTTTATTGTTTCTGTATTCTTGTCTATTCTTGTATTTGTTATTAAATTAGTTTTCAAAATAATTTTCTTTTTTGTATTTTGTCATTTTTAACTGTATGTTACAATAGGCACTGTATGTATGGCAATAGGACATGTTTTAACTGCAGGTTTGACTTCATGTTGTAAGAAGGCAATCTGCACTATCATTTGTGCCTTAATAAACTTCAAATCCTCCTAGTAATTTCATTTTATGCCATGTTATTTATAATAAACTCTTAATAATTTATATATATATTTTTTTTTTAGGTTTTGAAAGGACTGAATTATTTGAGGGAGAAACATCAAATAATGCATAGAGGTATCTATAATTTTATTTTGTATTCTCTGAAATGAATGTTTTTCACTTTGCCTTCAATCGTTTTGCAATATATTACTATACTTATTTACTTAAACCGAAACACAAATAGGTTATTTCTATTCATTTTAGTTTTATTTGCAAAAAACTACTTAATAGTTTTATTTTTTTATGACCCATATTTTTATGACACAGTTTTCAGATGATCTAGAACATTGTTTGTCAACCTGATTTACTCAAAGAACCTGTAAAATATTTCTGCGTTTTAGTGTGAACCAGTATGGTTGGTAATTAAATTTTGACTGTTAATATATTTATACAAAATTGTGGCCCATAATAATTTTTTGTTAAGTTTATTTCCGACCATTCACATACTCTCTGCAATAAAAAATATTTTGAGCCTGAACTTATTTAACCCATTGACAGCTCTGCATGTGTTTTATTTTATTCTGCTGTCTTATTTTATTTTACTCTCTTATTTTATTCTGCAGTCTTCTCTGCAAATAGTAAAACATGTTTTTCCACATTAATAGATAGGGAAATCCAAGTATTGTGGTGAAATATTCTCCTAATTGTGCCATTTTTTAAACTGCTACTTGGTTAAGTATATAAATAAAATTTATATTAATTCAGATACAGTAAAACTTGTGTAAGTTGACCACTTGTGGTGCATTGTTTTCGTGGTCAACTTATAGAGGGGGTGGGTCATAGTTTACTTTTTCGTTTCCTATATCATGTTGCTATATATTAAATTTTTTTTTAAACTTGACTTAAAAAATTTATTTAGCAAATAGCCAAATGAAATAGCTTAAGAAATGTGTTTAAACCTGAATGAAATTCAATTTGTTACATGTAATTCTAATATTTAACTAACTTTTTTAGAAAAATTATTTCGTTAGTTGTGCATGTGAAGTGTTTCATAAAAATAATTTCTTAAAATATCAGGACACGAAAACATGTAATTTGAAAACTTTAACAAAACAAAATTATTTGAACACTTTATAATTTATTCTGTTATTACTAGACTTACAAACCTATTTGTTACAAAAATATTCCCTCATTGTTGTTTGGAGCTGTTGTTCAGACTTTGCATCTGCCCAATATTTTGAATGAAAGAAATGTTCAAAAGCTGACCCCCTACAGTTTCCCCACATGGTCAACTCACAAACAGGTTTAGATTAGCATTTTATGCTATTTCAAAAAACAAGTGAAATTTTAACATACATTGCAAAATGACAGAAAATTCTCTGAATTTTTTTTTCTGATCAACTTATAAGGGTTTTAGAATAAAATTTCATAATACTCCTAGACAAAATTGAGTTATTTCAGTGGTCAACATTCAAAATAGACAGGTGGTCAAGTTACAAAGGTTTTGCTTCGTTATATTATATAGGAAAAATTCCCTTGATAATTGAGGTCAACTTATGCAGGTGTCCAACTTACAACGGTGGTCAACTTGGCAGGTTTTACTGTACAACTATTAATATTGCTATTCAAATAACAGAATAGCATAACCAAATTATGTAACCATGTGTAAGTAGCAAAAAAATAGAAATAAATACAAAATTAATACAAAAGAAATAATACAATTTCAAAAAATAATTGAATTTAACGTGATTTGTGTTGCTGACTAACATACCAATTCTATGTGTCAAACCAGTTACATTAATACTGACAACAGGCACAAGATTAAGTCAATTTCGATTTTTTTGTTTTAATTACACTTCTAACTAAAAATGTAGTTTCACATAAATAATTTAAAGAAAAAGACTATGAGTATTAATTACTTTTGCAGAAAGATAAAGATGTTCTTTTTAAGTTAGCGAATTATGAATAAAGTTTGCCAACTGTTACCGATCCCCTGTCCGGTGGTTGAAAAATAAGGATCTAAAAACAGTTAAAACAGGGACATTTTTTTAAAAAAAAATTATACAGGTAGGTTGCAAATGACATTGAAAATAATTAAAATAAAGAAAAAACTCAACTGGAATTTTTTTTCTTCCTTTTTTTTTAATTAAAATTTTTTAACTACTACGGTAAAGTTTAATTTAGTTACCTTATACCAATAGAAAATATCACAACAAATATTAAAATGATGTGAAGTTAGTCCAGAAGCTAAATATTTCTTCAAGCTTCTTCTGTATCTAGGAAAAATTCAGTTAGGTATATCTTTTTTAGCTCCATGTACATAGTGTTTAAATAATTTGTATTGCTTCTCTGAATGTCGCATGTTGCAATTAAGTAGTTATTGCAGTATAAAAAAATTATTAACGTAGGCCATAAATGCTATGTTAAAGTAAAATATAGTTTACAATATATTAAATTTCTGTTATACACTTAAAAGTGTACTTATTTCAGTTAAATAATTTTTCTAATATTATCACTCTATATGTGTTTCAAGATTAAAAAAATTCTGCATTAAATATGCAGTTGTACTAAGAAGAATTAACAATAAAAAAAATTACCTTTCAAATTACAAATAAAAAATAGTTCAAGGAAATAGTGGCTTCAACTTTCATATTAGTTTCTTATGTGTTTTGATTCTATTGTAATTTTTGTTTTAAAACCAAGAGAGAATAAAATTCATTATTTGGAAAATACTAGTATACAAAACTTCTTATTCGTTCATGTAGTTCATTGATTTATCATTAAATCATTTTGTATTTGGTTAGATGTGAAACCTTCTAACATCTTAGTGAACTCTAGAGGAGAAATTAAAATTTGTGACTTTGGAGTTAGTGGTCAACTGATTGATTCAATGGCAAACTCATTTGTTGGCACTAGGTCTTACATGTCGGTAAGCATATTTAATATGCTTTGATGATTTTTCTAATTTTTTATCCATGATTTGCATTTGTTAATTTATAATGTTTTATTAAAATATTTAAAATGTTTTTATCAGTTTTTTTAAATTTGTATTAGCTGTATATAGAGGAATGCTCTATGCGTAATATTCTAGTGAGTAAAAGCTAGACTATTCAGAAAGTAAGAATTGGAAAAAAAATCGCATTATTAGTAACTATAAGTTAACACAGTCAATGTTGATTAAAAATTAACTGTAAATGTAGCTTTATAGTAAATGAATCAATTTAAATAAATTGAGAAGGATATTGAAGGTAAAATACAAGAGAGAGGCTTGAAAAATATCTTGCTTATTACTCTCTCTTTATACTATGTAGTGCCAAAATTCTTAGTGAAAAACTTGAAATTTACTTTAAAAAATGTTCAGCCAAAATAAAAAACATAATTTAGTGAATTGATAATAGAAGCAAAAGCTTAGATATGGGAGTAAAACCTGAAGAGATACCAGGTATCATTATACATACCATCAGCAATAAAATTGCTGTTTATTGAAAATAGTGATGTTCAAATAAAAGGCTTATTAGCAGTTAAGACAGGGTTACCACAGGCGACTAAAATGCAACTATTTTCAGCATGAGGCGACTATGGCAACTTTTTTTGCCTGAAAAGACTAAAAAAAGCAACTATTTTCAGGAAAAGGAGACTTTTCTGTACTCCTAGCAATGTTTTTGTAGCATAATTGGGTTGAAAACCTGCAGCCTGCGAAATCTTCTGAAGACACTGAATTTGTTTTCTTAGGAAATGTAAAATAAAAATAATAAAATTGAAAAAAATTACATAAATAATTAAAACATTAAAAAATAAAAAGTTTTCAATTGCAAATTTAAGTCATCACTTTTTAATGCGTTCAATTTGCATAGATTCTAAGTCTATTTCATTTCTCAATCGCTTTTCGAACGGTTATTGCTAATAAATTCTGCATGATTTTAAAGAATTTTGAATTGGAGTAATCACTTTCCGCAACATATATATATATATATATTTGCTAAATCAATTATTGATGAGAGGGAAAATTTCTTAGAAAAAGTGTGTGTGTGTGTTTTTAATGAAAAAGTATTTTTTGAATGAATTCTAGTACGGTACAGAACCCGTTATCCGGAAATCAGAAAACCGGAACGAAATTTGATAAATTTTCTCGCCATTTTTTAAAAAAAAAATTTTTCCCTCATAAGATTTTACGATTTTTCTTTCTTTTTTTAAAGATGTTTACCTTACCATCATTTTGGAAATAATCATTAGTGTATTACTTCATCGTTTTTTCTTATTTTTAAGATTATTTCCAAATGTTATTTTTTTTTTTTAGTTTGTTTAACAATAAAAAAAAACTTCTTTTTGTAGCGATTCAGAAAACCGGAAAAATCAGTTATCCGGAATAGCGATGGTCCCGACCGTTCTGGATAATCGGTTCCCTACTGTAATTAAAAGTATTTAATTTTCTGCAAATATACAAATTTTTTTATATAAAAATTTAGTGCTAGAACACTAACGTTGACATAAAAATTATCGTATTTGCCACCAACTTGACTAAATGTATCATGGTATATGACAACTAAGTCATTATTTAGGCAACTGTTTTCATACTTTAGGTTACTAAAAGCAACTATTTTGTTTATTTTTTTCTGTGGCAACCCTGTTAAGAGGTGTAATAAAAGCAAGAGAGAAACAGAAAAAATAGATTCTTAGCTCTTAAAATTAACTTTACTACAGCTGAAAATCTAATTTTTCCATTATTATATTTAAAAACGGAAGTTTTTAAGAGAAAACAAGTGTCCTTAATTCTTAAAATAAAACTTGAAGGCTCAAAACTTTAGTTTCATATATTGCTATGTTTTTTGGAGAAAAAAAAAAAAGCTGTGGCTAAATTTATTAGAAACATTCGTAAGAAAAAGCCTTGCTATAATTTGCCGATTGTTAAATTGCAGCATAGGTGAAAACATAAACTGAAAAATCCTTTACATATAATTTCATTATTCCAGTTTTTTTTTGTTGCAAGATTTGGTATATAAACTGTACGGTAATGAGTTTAGTTCTAAGAAACTTTAAATGGGCACAAATCAAAAAGTATTTTTTCTGCATTTCTTATTACAGAAGAGAAAATTTCAGGCTCAGGAAACCCAACCTTGATCTAACTATGCTTTATCTTATGCAGTTTTAAATAATAAGATGGGAGATAGGTAGCATTCTTTCTGAACCAAATGTTTGTTTTTCTGAACTAATGTTGATGTTTGAATGTTTTTTGGAATTAAATGTTATGTTGAAGGGATTGTCCTTTAGTGAAATCAAATGAGAGGCATTTATGGATGGTTTATTGATTTTTTTTTTACCCGAATCTTTTAATAAAAATATAAACTTAAAAAAAAAAATTTATAAGGAAAGCAAATTTGTTAAAAATTTCTGTTACTCGAGCTTTTTGGGTTAGTCTAATTCTGGCTAGCCTGGCTTTTGATGTACAATTTCAAAAAAAAAATATATATATATATTACTTATGTGCATAAATTATTATTAATTGTTGTGATAAATTATTTATTGTAGTATAATGCATGTATTTTCTTTTAATAGCCTGAAAGGTTGCAAGGAACACATTACACTGTACAATCTGATATTTGGAGTCTTGGTCTTTCTTTGGTTGAAATGGCAATCGGGCGTTATCCTATTCCCCCACCTGAACCTAAGGAGCTTGCAGCTGTATTTGGTCCAAAATATTCTGCTAGTGCTGATCAGAGTGAATCTCCTTCTCCTAGTTCTAAAAATAGGCCAAGTTAGTAATTATTCAGTTTAAATTAATAGTTAAAAAGTATGGTTATTAAATATCTAAAACGTCATTAAATATCTAAATATCATTGCAAACTACAAACTATTTACACACAAATTTGTTTCAACATTAGGTTTAAGATGGTTATCTATGCTTAAAAAGGCATTATATAATTTAATCATCTTAAAATGTCTATATTAAATGTAATCGGTGAATTTTCATGGATCAACATAGATTTTCTATCTAACCACATTTTATAAATGTTAAAAATCAAATAGCTGAGTAGATGAAGGGTTTTAATGACATTAATTTAAGAATGATTCAAGTGCACTTTGAAACAATCAGTAGAATTTCAAGCATATGTTTTTGAATCATTGTTACAGAATTTTAAACTTAATGTAGTGACCTTAATTATGAAGTAAGTTTTAAAACATGTTTGTATACTATCACCTAGTATTAACATGACTGAAATAAATGCTAAAACTATTTTTCAAAACATAGTATGTAATAAAAATTTAAATATTTTACATATAATTTCATTATTCNTTTTAAGATTATTTCCAAATATTATTTTTTTTAGTTCGGTTTAACAATAAAAATAAAGGCTTTTCGTAGCGATTCAGAAAACCGGAAAAATCAGTTATCCGGAACAGCCATGGTCCCGATCCATCCGGATAATCGGTTCCGTAGTGTATTTATTATTTTTAAACTATGTAGATTATTTTTTTTAAAATTAATAAAATTGCATTTATTCAGTCTTAGTTGTACTGCCATTTCTAACTTTTTCTGTTTAACATTATTTCAAAAATAAGTAACAAAACAAAAAGTGCTGAATTCAGTAGCTCAAGCAATAATTACCATTCAACCATTGAGTTTGCAAAATCTCTGTATTGTTTTATAACTGTTCTCAGTGAAACAAAGCTAAATCAAATGTGTCATTTTGCTTAAAATGTAATACTGTATATAAGTCTAAATTAATGGTTTTTAGGTCTATGAGAAAAATTGTCTATTGAAATATGTTAAAAATTTTCAATGAATAATTGTAGATGCTTTGTGTAAAAATTCATCTTTTATAAAAGAGTTAACGCTGAATCCATATACACCAAGAAATTTTGTAAGTAAAATCTTCACAAATTGTCGAATCTTACATTGTTTATATAGATATAATTAGGGTTCACACCAGCAAAAAATATTTAGTGGTCCAATAGCACCACCTAAGTATCTGTTTAGTGGTTCAGAAAATAACTATGGTTGACAAACTTAAGACGAAAAAAAATATTGAACTTTACAATTGCAATATTCATGTTGTGGTATTTATCAAAAGTTATTAATTGCCATCTATAACACGCTAAAACTAATTAGGTTCAATGTGGGGAGAGGAGTAATCGACCATGTCAACCGTCATCTATGAAAAGGTACCCCGACATAGAGTCGAGTTAACATGTCTTATACACTAGTGAATTGTGGTTGTAATTTTGCAGTGGTAGATACGCTACAGTACTCCCGCACTAGAATTATATCTGTGATAGAATTCGATGAACGAATACCACTAGTTGATTCATTGCTGTTTTGTGAGAAGCCAGGAGAGCTGTATTAAGATCACCGTATTTTTTTAAGTGCTGAATGTGAGAGGTGTATTAACTTCACGGTTGTAGTCGCTCCTGTGTTGCGTTAGCAGTCGAGTGTATGCAAGCCAACATTGTGTGTGATCGAGATGAGACTGAGTAGCAACTGCGTGAGGAGGTGGATAATGATGCAGTCACAAGTAGCAAGTCAACTGTTCAATGTGGACCATCCAACGAAGTAGGCGTTACTGCCGATGTAGGCGTATCCAGATCAAAGTGGGCGTTTTTGCCAAGGTAGGCGTGTTCACATCACGTCCGAAGGTCACCAATGTGGGGAGAGTAGTTACAGACCATGTCAACCTTCATCTATGAAAAGGTACCCCNTATCCAATGTTCTACTCCATGCTTAACTTTTCTTGGCGTGACACCTGATCTAATCAGAGCAGGAAATTCAGACAACAAATTGTGGAATTTGGAGTTCTCTAATATTACCCTTACCGCTGAAGCATTCCCAGTATACCGGGTACCTCTTGTTTGCAACTTGGTCAAAGGATCAATTACTGTAGCATTTTTGACGTCTATTAATAAACCAAAATTGCGTAAGAAGTCAGCTCCGATAATTGGATGAGGCACGGCAGCGATGATAAAAGGCCAGTTGAACTCTCTTCTGAGTCCGAGGTCTAATTTCAACAGGCGTTGGCCAAACGTTGGAATGGTCGTACCGTTTGCGGCGAACAACTTCATCTGAGAGGAATGGTCACTGGATGCATAAGCAGCACAAGGTATCACAGAGACGTCAGCTTTCGTATCGATGAGATAACGTGAGGATGTAGACTTGTCCGTCAGATAAAGTCGCTGAATCACCGCTTCGCCGTCATCCTTATGACTAGATGACGGCCTCAGCAGTTTTCCGGCAGGAACGAACATGGAGGTCGGCATTTTGTGGCTCGTTGTTTAAATATTTTATGATACCAGCAATACTGTGAATTTGCAGACTGTCGGCTTCGGCTTGTAGAGCGTTTCTGACTAGTACTTCTCGACCGGTCACTTGTACGGGCTTCCAACCGTGCGAGACGAGCTGTGATCTCAGTCAATAAAGACCGTAAATCCGTCTGATCCGTCGAATCAGCAACTACGCTGACTGACTGTGCGTTAGTTGTTGTAGCCATGATACCATCCGCCATCTCTGCCAGCTTGTCCAGGTTATCGTTGGAAATCGCCAAAATCTGTTGAACGTTAGTAGGCAATCTTTGCAAAAATAAAGATTTAAGAATTTCATCGTTAATTCTCGCTCCGGCTTTATTCCGCATCTCCAGAAGCAGTCTTGAAGGACGGCGGTCGCCAAGTTGCATCCCCGAAATCAAATCCCTTAACCGTTGAGCTTCAGATTCAGCATATTGAGAGTACAATCTTTTCTTAAGTGCGGCGAAAGGCTTATCCACAGGTGGACTGATAACGATGTCGCTGATAATCGCCAGTTCCTCCGGTTGTAGAGCAGCAACTACATGGTGGAATTTCGTTGATACTGTACTTACTCCCGCAAGAGTGAACTGACTTTCTATTTGTCTGAACCACAATTCTGGATTACCTCTCCAAAAAGGTGGCGGCTTTACAGTGACACGAGCAATTTGTTGATCAGCAGCTTCAGTAGATTCGGGCATTTTTCGCATTAATCCAAAATATATAAGTCCAACAATAGCAGTAATTTGTACTCACGGCTTGCCAAAAAACTTTAAAACTTGACACGTACCAGCATTTCCCCGTAATCCATCAACTAGTAGAATTTCTCAAAAGCAGTTTGCAGAAACAGAAATATACGCATTCGTTTACAGGTCACCAATTGTATATGCTTCGGTGATGGGAATGTAAGACTTTCAAAAATGAAACAATATGGCAAAGAAACATCCTCTTTAATATTGAAAGATAACAAACCATCTACGAAACTTCACAAACTCCAATTAACAAGTTATTCTTTAAAAACATTAAAAGTTGTTATTAAAAGAACAATTAAAAACTTAAACTTTTGATTGTAAATGTCGCATACTGCAGGTGGGCGTCGCCGGGAAAAATTGGGATATCGGGACGAAGTCTCGGACGCTGCACAACAACCTCTCTCGAAGGCAAACTGTCATCTGCTTAAATACTGGACTTCAGCCTTTTCACTCCCTGCCTTGGCCGCCGGTTGATGCTCCTCCGCCGGTATTCCGCGCAGGAACTATTTCGGTTCGTCCTCCTACCTTCGATCTTCATTCCAATCCTCTATCCTTCTACCTCAGTTTTTCATGCAATCTGAGCTGACGCAACCAACAGCCTCTACAACCCCATAATGATTAAAGATTGGAATTTATTAAAATTAAGTGGAAAAAAAAGTTTAAATAATATTAGTAAATAGATTCAACATACAGATTAAAATGCTGAGACCAAATAAATAAATTAATGAGGAAAACAAAGAAAGTAAAAACTAACAAAATATTATATTAAAAATAATCTAAAAATTCTAAATAAAATAAATTCTAAAAGAGCAAAAGATTATGTTTTATTGATGAACAATTACACTTGTAGGTAGCTTATTTTTAACTAGGCACTTTTAGTTATTCCATTTGAAAAATCTTGAAACTAAAACCTAACCTACCCATGAAATAGAATTAGTATGATACTTTATTTTTTTAAAAATGCATGTATTTTAATGCAAAGAAGAAAAAAAAACTATTTTTGTTACTATTTTGTTATAATTTCCAAACATATTTAAAGGTAACAATTTTGTCCTCCATTCTTATATTTTTTACGACATTTGTGGAACATTTGGCGACAGTTGCCGTGATGTCGCCATACTGGCATTAGTCCTATATATAATTATATGGTAAAGCTTGAAAAGTTAATGGTAATAAAATTATATTTATTTTAACACTTTTATTCCTTAAAAAAATACTATTTTAATATTACTGTTATTTCTTTTATCAAATTACATAGTTTTTGGAATTTTAATTATACATTTCTTAATTTTTTTTTTTTTTTAACAATTGTAGGTAGCTTTTATTTGCCATATGGAGATGGACCAAGAATTATGTCAATTTTTGAACTTCTAGACTACATTGTAAATGAGGTAATAGTTAAATTCCTTTTTAATTTACTTCTTATGAAAATATTTTATCTATGTTATTTTTATATTTCATAAAATGTTCAGTATGTATAATGTTATATCTTTATTTAAACTAATGAGAATTAGTTAACTTGTAGCTTGATTGATATATAATGTTTAGCAGTTAAAGAGTTATTAAAAATAATAATTTTATTGTTTAAAATTCACTGAATATCTTGTAACTAAACTGAATAATAATTGTAGTGAATTTAGTAATATTCATAAAATAAGCTTTTGAGTATAGAAATGAGTTAAATGAGTTTTGAGTTAAAATTTCACATGATCCCCACTCTCTAACTCTTTATACTGTAATGTATTGGCCCTTTTTAAACAATCCACCATGAAAAACTCTTGTGTAAGTTTGCCTTCAATTTTAACACTTGATAATTCTATGTCCCTTAACATGTTTTTGAAGCATTCTTAAAAGTTTAAATTTTTTGGTAATATCTCAAAAGGCTTTGACACTCAAATATTAAAGTTGTAAACATTTTTTTTTTCAGCCACCACCCTCTGTACCTGCCAGTGTATTTTCTCCGGAGTTTAAAGACCTAGTAGATAGATGGTAATTTTAATTTTTTCTTTAAGTTAAGTTTGAACAACTGAAAGATCGCAATGTTTTATTATAATAACAGATTTATTTTATGATTCTATTGAAATAAAATTCATTATTTTAGTTGCATATCTTAATTAGACATAGTTTTTCCAAACTTATAAAAAAATTAAATATAAGTTAATTACTATTGTGTATTTATTATTGTATTATTGCAAATCAAAGTAAAAAAGTGTGATAAGTATTATTTGTTTACTACCTTTTAATTAGGGATAAAGGAATATTTTATTGGTAAACAGTACCTTAATAATTATTATTAATTTTGTATTGATGACAACCAAAGAAATCTCATTCTTCATGTTAGAAAACTTTATTATACCATGTAATTTTTAAGTTAATGAGAATGTACTGACAAAATTGAAAAGCAGTTTTATATCATAGAGATATCATTAGTTTTGTAAGTTTGATAATATTCTTGAAATACTTAGTTTCTTTTCAAATATTGTCTTCGATCATTTTCACTAATTCATTCACTTGCCATTTCAAACATTTTCACTAATCATATTTTTTTATCAATCCTTTTGCTTGAGGAAACTTTTATAGCAATTGCTTTTTGAAGTTATTCTCTCATTGTAGAAGTAGTGAGTTATTTTGTCCTACTTTCATGCATAACTTGTTCTGAACATCTTAGCGAAAAAGGCTGATTTGTCTAAAAAGCTTGAAAGATAAGCCTAATTTCTAGTTATCAAATTGAAAAATTTGGTTATTTGCTGCGTTTAATTTTTTAAACATTTGTTGCTTTTAATTTTTTTTTTCTCTTTATCTTTAGTTTAAAGAAAAATCCTGCTGAAAGGGCTGATCTCAAATTTTTAACTGTAAGTATATTTTTAAATTAACTCTGAATCCCATAAAGACAAAATTATAACAAAAACTATAGTTGCTTTTAAAGAAATACATATTATAATTAATAACATACTTTATATAAATAAAAATTTGTTTTCTACTCTTCTGATTTATTGGCAAATATTATGTGACATTTTAAAATTTGATATACATTAATAATTTCCTATTCTTTTGTGACAAGGAACTCATTTGAAAATATTTTGTTCAAATGATTTTAAATCTTTGTCTTGTTTCAAGAACTGTAAAATTATTTTATTGCTTTGAGTTCTAATATTATTAACCAATTCATTATATTTTCTTGTAAGTGTAAATTTATTTTTAGAAGGCTATGAACACACATGTTTTAAATGAAACTTTTTATCCATTTCTTATTCTAATCGTAGTATAATTATAACTATTTGACAATTCACTTAATTTATTACCTTTCATATTATCTCTAAAATACTAACTAATAATATGTTTCCTGCTGTAGATTTTGATACAAAATTATTGAAAGCTATTAAAAACTCATACCTAAGGCAATAACTTTTTTTAAGTATAGTTTTAATGGTTATTCCAAAACCTCTTCTTGATAAATGGGTATATTTGTAAATACTAGAGAAAATAAATGGGATTTTCTAAAATGTCGCACCATAGTAACATTTTGTACTTCATTTTTAAAAACAATTGCTGATATCATTTTTAATAGAGCACCAATGAAGTTTAACATGTAAAGCTCAAAATTGTTAAAATATACTTCAAATATATAATAAATAAATAAAAAATATCTTTCTTTAAATCAGCAGTCAACGAAAATAATAAACAGGTAAAAAAGCATACTTCCTAGAATCTAAAACTAACATCTAACTCCCTTCTAATCTACTAACTAAAACTAATTCCCTTTATTCGCATGTTAACCATGTTGCATCAGTTTACTCGAAAAGCTTTAAATTTTGGAACCGTACATTTTAGAGAGTAAAAATAATAGTGTTGGGCTTAGTTGTGAAGTGTTGTTTTATCACCTTAATACAAGAGACTTATTCAGAAGGTTAGCAAATATTTATTCACCATAGCTGTTCTATTTTTCAACCAGACTGTTGCTATCCAACGTGTAAGAAATAATTAATAACCATCTTGCTTAATCTAATCATTATCGATTAAGAATAATACTACAGTTGAAAGTGTGAATAAATGTGACCAGAGTCTAATTATCGGTGTGGTTCCAGAGGGACATTTGTCAATTATTTCTCTGGTGGTGGAGTAGAGTGTCCAGTGCTCTATTTTTACATTCTTCTCATCTGTTTTTCTCCTGCATATTTAACTCTTTAGATTTTTGAAGAATCTCTGGATTTGGGAAACAAAATAAGTTTGGAGAATCAATTTAACAAAATAGTTTTCAAACTCAATGAGTATATAAAAAAAAAACATAGGTACCCTATTATTAGATATGCTGTGGCATATCTCCATGTAATTATGACAATATTAAAAATATTTATAACTTTTGATATTTTTTCATAACTATAAATAGATACACATTGATAAAAATAAGATTCATATATTAATAATATATGTCATGGAAAAGGTACATGAGCCTAATGCTTGGTTTTGCGGAGAGAGAAAGCTCTTGGAAATTGCTTGATATTTTCTTATAATTATTAGTAGATTCTCTCTAACTTAGTAAATTAGTGTTAATAAGTATTAAGTTTAGTAAAATTTTATTTCGAACAGTGCATATTGAGGTGAATACACTGTGAAACCTCCAGGAAGGACCACTTTTGTGTAGCGACCAACTCTATGACTACTTTTGGAAGGCACCAAATTTTTCCATATTTTTGTTGAAGAAAAGCTTTAGGGGAGACAAAACCTCTACCAGGCAAACATCTGCACCAAATACTGAAAAGTTTAAATAAAAAAACTAGAAAAAATGTAAAAAGAAAAAATTTTACAAAGCAAATAAGTAGATTTAAATGTATTCAAAATATTTGTGTGATGCTCTTATTTAGAAAGTTCTTTTTGACGATACAACCTCATGTTGCAGTCAGAGTGCACTAAAGACGATACTAGCAATGATTTACTTCAAGAGTTCGAGGTTAAACTTGAAAATAAAAATTCTATCTTATGAAAAACAAGCATCTCAAATAACCCTCTTCTCATATTTTTATCCTAACTAATTTTTATGATCTTAAATTAAATGCAAACTTAGAAAAAAAATTGCTTATTTAAAATAGTTTTATCATTAGTAATTGTTAAATTTGTTTTTACGCATAATTATATTAGTTGGAATCATTTTTATAGACGCTAAATTTTATTCATCGATATGTCTTTTTATGGCGCTAACAGAAATGGCATTTCCACACCAGAAAATGACACTGACTAAAATTAAAATCATGTACCTTCGATAACAATTTTGAAGTCAATGAAAGTAACTTCTAAAAATGACCATTTTAGTGTGGAATTGTGAGTGGTCGCTCCCAAGTGGTTTCACTGTATAATATTTATTAATGTTTATTCCGGAGAAAACTTTTGATGTATGTAAAAACTATCTTATTGTTTTTTAATATTGATATAATGCTATAGCCAATCTCTCAATTTCTTATTCGTCTATATCATTTACTATTCAAAATTGTCCAGGCTTGCAAGTTGGTCATTTCTGATTTTAGGTTGCATTAGAAAGTTGTGTTGTAAATTTTAATGATTATATTTTTGTTTTAACATATTTATCATTCTTTTAATAAACAGCTTTTATTGCAAATTAGTTTTTCTCATTGTTTGCCTTGACTGGTGTTTTTCCTTTTTTTTTTTAAGACTCATGCATTTGTGAAAAGATCTGAAACTGAAAAAGTTGATTTTGCTGGTTGGGTTTGTCAAACAATGGGACTGGATTCATCTTCTCCTACAAAAGCATCCCCTGATGGTTAAAAAGTTTATGTGAAGCTGTAATCAACTTTTTTTTTTCACATGTCATAGAAGAAGCATATATTGTGGCTTCTTTGTTTTATCCTGTTGCGCCAATCATAGTATCCATTTAATATTTTTCTCTTTTTTGTGATTTTACCTTATGCTAATTATTAATGAACAGCTTTTATTTTTATATGTATGACTGCTGAAGTTCCAATTCTATGTATTTAGTTCTGAAGTACCTTATACATTTGATTGATCTTCTTATGTAGACAATTAATAAATTTTCAATTAGAGAAAATGAAATTTATCACCTCAGAATTTTTCATATGTACTGAAAATTTAATTTGTCTTGTAATTAAAAATGCAGCAATCTACTTAAAAAATATATATATATATATATCCAAAAAGGAGATCTTTTAATATGTTACCAAAAATGCATTTATCTTATTTTTTTTAAACCATTTTTGTTGTTAATTGTTGGTTTAATTTTATCCCATTTAATCTATTAGTCTTTTATATGTGTGATCCATTTTTTGAAGTCTTGTTCTAGATTTATCCATTTTTTTTAAAAAAATTTTATTTCCACACATTAATTATGACTATGCAATATGATTAGGTTGTGTAAAAGGTGCACAATAATATGGATTACTTTTAAGTATGTGCTTAAATTCTGGTCCTTAATTTAATTTAATTCATTTTTCTGTCGCAAATATGTTTATTATATTTTTGATTTATGATATGATAGCTTTTTGATTTATAATATGATAGCTGGCAAATCAGTACTGACTGATCCCTGTTAGCCTTATTCATTTTGTGTTTTTGTTGACTAAAATGTTATTTTTCTAAATCATGTTAGGAATTATAATTTTTGAATTTGCTACGCCAATCTTAAAATTATTCAAGTTTTTCTAAAGTGTGTGAAATTAGCAAATTGAATATTTTATACATAGACAAAATTTGGCCTGATTTAGTACTTTTTTTTAAAAAACTTATTTAACATTAATCTATAAATTTTCATATTTACATGCATGTGCATATTTATATGTAAATTTCAAAAAGCTTAGAGTTTGTCTCTAACTGTAAAACACTGTTTAGCATCTTTCAAAATATTGACTGGAAAAAAATATGTTGTTGATGAAATAAATTGGTGCTTTTTTTTCTGTTATGGAAATTGTTCAAATTTCGAATTTGCAATCAATAGAAAGGGGTAAAAAAAAATGTTGCTTGTACTACATCTAAATGCATACCTGCCAAGTCCCCTGTTTTTAGCAAAAACTCATGTATTTTACTACTATCTCCTGTTTACCTGCATATTCTCTAATGTCTTTGTATTTATTGAAGGAATTTTTTTAAACAATTTTCGATAAAATATCAGCTGATGGCAAAAATATTCCTTAACAGATACTGCCAGTACTGCAGTATGTTGAGTGTTTAGAATTAAAGTAAAATTATTAATAATGATTTAAAAAAGTCTTCTGTAGATTAACATTTATATACATATTTTTTACTTCGCTAAATGTAAGTGGTTATATTATTTCCAATTTTGAATTTCTTTTTTTTTTATTAACTTAATAATGCATGATGTATCAAAACTTTAGGATTATGATTCTCTCTATAAAAGTCAATGCAAATTCAATCTTATTTGAACATATACTTTTGCGATGCATTTATATGTCATTTATAACTCTTTATTTTGTAAGAATAAATTACCTTTATTTTCTTTTTTGTGCATTTCAATATGTTATTGTACTTTTGACACTAAAGCTATTATAATTTATTACCCTATTATTGATTTAAATAATTTGGCAGTTCCTAAAAGTTTTTGAATATTTAACCTAGTTTTCTTTAAAAAAAAAATAGCTATAATTTTTTTAAATTTTAAAAAAAAAAGTTTGATATTCATTTAACTCTAAACCAATAAGATTTTTTTAGGGACAAAAACAGCTTGGCTACAGATCTATATTAATAACTGTCATGCTCAGTCAGTTTTCGAAAATCTATGCATGTGGCTTTCTTTCTAACTGACAAAAAATAGTCAATTATATATAGTGTAATCTTGTTTGTATATTTTTCTCTAACTATGCATGTATTATATTTTCAGATCAATATTATGAAAGATTATAAATTTTCTCTTCAATTTTTTTTATTACCTTTATCTAGCTTAAAAATGTTACTGCTTCACATGCTATGTTTAGACTAACGTTTTAGATCTTGTTTATTTCTTCAACAAGAATTAAAGTTACATACAGTATGTTAATGTATTATGTGGTATCAAATATTCCATGCTTTGTAATTTATGTAAGTGATCCCCGTAACTCTGAGTCATATTGTTGTTAAACTTGCGTGTATGTGTGAGTATAAGATCTTCAAAAATATCTTGATGTGGTTTCTTAAATTTTCTGCATTTTTACTCTTTATACCTAAATTTTTGAAGCCTGACACTTGTGCATAAAAAAAGACCTATGTGATATTACATATTTACATATTTGTTAGATGTTAAAACTTTGTATTTTTCTAGTATAAAGTATTATGCCTATATCACTTGAATGTACTAGATTTGTTTGTTAGTTGATATAAATATACAACTTCCTGGAAAATGATATATTTCTAAATGTAGATAACAGTGGATGTAAATGACACAATGACAATTTATTGATTCCTTTCTTTATGACTACTAGCATTATTGCTAACAATTTTAATCAAATCTTTTCCTCCTTGCATTACCATCTCAATAAAATTACAAAAGCCCATTTTAATTTTTATTTGTTTTAATTCATTGTATGATAATATTAATGTGCACAAAAGCTTATTTATTATTACTGGTGTGTACAAATACACATCAGTATGCGTTTATAATTGCATTTTATTTGTAAATTGCGGACTAATCTTGTGATTCAAAATTTATTTTGTACTTGTGACCCCAAATGTAAAATTTTAATCCATATATGTTTTGTTTTTTTTTCTGTTTTTAGTTTTATTTAAAGATAGTAATTAGTCCTTTATTATTTAACTTAAATGCAAATGTTTGAAATTAGACACATTTTAAAGTTACCTTTGTTACCTTATTTAAACAAATTCAAGTCAAGCTACTAACCAAATGAAATTATTCAATTTTTTTATGAAATGTTATAGTTGAATGTGTTTTGTATATATTTAAACTATTAATGTAAATCAAATTATTTCTAATCATTCAAAATTATTTTTAAAAATTATATTTTGGGGCCACAAACATTATGTGTATAAGTATTTGTACACTTTTTTTATCTAATGCTTTGGCAATTTGTTTTTGCAATATATTTGCAATTTTTTTTCCACAACTGAAAGGTAAACAAGTAAGCAATGACATATCATTTACGTTTCTTTTAAAGTTATATTTTGAAGTGATTCTAATGTTAATTTGATTGAAATAATGCTTACAGATTTTCCAAAGATTTAGATTTTTCTAATTTTTTTAGATTCGTTTTAGAATTTGCTATTCCTAAGAGAACTAGTCTTTGTGTGTTCTGTACTTTATCACTTTATTTTATCTTACCTTAACTCATCTATTTTTTTCTTTCCATTTTTGTAATAATTCTTTATTTCCCTTCTAATTTTATGTATTTCACAGAGATGTCAATTTGACCATAAAATCTGTATGTCTTATTAGTACTGTATGTCTCATTAAACTTTTATCTGAAGTTTAATGAATAAACTTAAATGTATTTTAAAATTACTTATAAAATGTCATTTCCTATTTTTCTAAAGGTATTTTATGTTTTGTGATATTGTAATTGTTATTATATTTGCAAATGCTTGTAATTAAATTAAAAATATTAAACTACTGACACTAGTCTAATCTTTATAAAATTGTTAATGCCTAGTTAATTTTCTTATATTGCTTGAGAGGTTATGTATATGGGACATATACGTGAAAGTAAATTAATTTCACAATTATAGTTTTGTGGTAATTAAGGTTTTTGACATTAGTTAAATCTTGTAGAATTTTGCAACAACTCGGTTCTCTGACTCAGCTAATTTTATTTCAGGAATTTGATTCCCTGTGGCTTTGAAAATATATCAAGCATTAATCCTCATTTTTTTTTTTCTTTTTGTATCTACTCTTTTTTTTTTTTTTTTTTCTTAAATCTGAATTTCTCTTAAATCTTGCAGTCACAGTGCAATCATATATGTTCATTAATACCATGCTAGTATATATATTTGTCGCAATGCAAAGATTCATAGTCACAATCATATATATTCATTGTCATAATAATAGCATAAATATTAAGTGTCTCAATGCATACAGAAAGTAATTTAGCCTACTAAAAGATGATGGAATGTTTTATTTCTATAAATGTATTGTGATTCATATTTCTATAAATCAAGTGAATTTTCTTTCTTTTATTTTGGCATCTCTGTGATCTACAATTAATATTGCAGCTCTGATATAAATCCATCTTCAACAACAAAATTACATCCTTATTCTTCCTCGTGCATCTAAAAAAATATATATTTTCTTTTATATTCTATTTAGAGAGCTTATTTTCTATTAAGCTCAAATATACGCTGTGCACTCTTTAAGAGTTAAATATTTTTTTGAAAGCTTTTTCAATTGTAAATGTTTATGTACATATGTGGTATGTGTAAGATATTTGCAGTTAGTCATTCTAATCTGTATTAGCTAGAATGCATTTCCTAATTCATTTGAAATAGCTTTAAAATTTAACATTGTTTGCACGCTATTATAAATGTAGCTTGCAGATTTCGTCTGAAAGAAATGTATACACACTCTCTTAATTGTTAAAAGCACTGCATTTTGATGTTATAATCTGTTTTTTCAGATATAATGTTTCATCTTTCATTACCAGTGTTGTGCCAAATACTTCAAGTATTATCATTTCATTATGCATGCTAAGTTCTCCAAAATTTTGGTTTCATGTAAATTTCAATTCTAAATATTAAAAAATTACTTCTATTTTAATCTGATAATTTTCCATGATAATTAAACTTCTGTTAACTAAATATGAAATTATTTTAGATTTATCACTTGAGATATTAATTTTACTTAGCATATTGCTTAAGGGTGTCTTGAGGATGGCTTCTACTTTAAGCTAACTATTGGAGAATTACATAAATACCAATATAATCAATATTTTTGATTTGTTCCTGTTTTATTATGGTGTTTTTTACTGAGTATAGTTACCAGATTTTTAATTTTTAAGGTTTTATCTATTTTAAAAATATTGACAATTATATAAAGGCAAAATTAAAGTTGTTAACCTGAAAAACTGAAGTTGGTTAACTTATTTTTATGTGACATTTTAATGATTAATATAAAAATAAATCCTGTGTTAACATTAGAAATGAAAAAAATAAGTGACTCCAGGACATCCTTAATAAACATAATTATGAATATTTAAAATTTACTGTAGATAGTCTCATTTTTGTTTATTTCTTTTTGTATGTTTATTGAACCAAAGCACAACTGTTTTAACTAAACATGTTGATCTCTTTGAAATCATTTTCAAAATGTTTGTTTTTAGGAAATATTTGATTCTTAAAAATTGTTTTGAAAACTGATGTTAATTACTATGTAGGTTTTGTAAATAATATATTGTTGTTTGCTGTTTTCGTATTAAAACTTAAAGAAACAAAACATTTTTTTTTATTTCTATATGTTATATTGTAAGAAGTTCTATTTTGCTTAACTGTCAGATTGAGTGCTTTTTGACAATCATTTAAAACATTCCAATGTGTATCTTTGTTTGTATATAATTTGCTTCATTTGGTACATGAGAAAAATAAATTAGAAATTTGTGTTAAGTATTAATGTGTTGTTGTTTTTCACAAATTTGGGTAACATATTTATTTGTAATTTTTTTATTGTGACTTCTGCAAAAAAGGGAAAACTTTTGGACATGATATTTAATATGTTTAAGACAAATTCTGTTTCGGATTATTATTATTATTTTTATTTGTTGGGCATACTTTGTAGGTATTATAAATAATCTCGTATAACCTATTAAGTCTTGCTAATTTAAAAATTAGTTACACAAACAAATTCTATTGTTTTGTTTTTTTTTCCTGAACTGGCTGATTTATTTGGGAACTTCACTGGAAAGTCCCTATACAGAATTGTCCATAAACAATTTTTCCAGATGTCGGATTTTAGAGGTAAACAAACATTAATAACATGCATTATTCAATAAAAAAATAACAAAACCACAGTAAATTATATTAATTTAATACAAGGATTTCTTATAGGCAAGGTTGGAAACAAAAATCAAAGTGAGCAGAAGGTAATTTGTACTTTCTCTTTCATTGATATATTTTCCCCCCCTTGCTATTTGATGTGAAGAAAGAGCTGGGCAGATAATCAAATAAAAATAACATATATATAAAAGAAGAATATAAAACAAGGAGCAGAATTTAGTAGGTTTTCTTAATAAAAACATAATTTAAAGGGAAACATACCTCTGCTGGTGTTTCTAAACACTATTAATATTCATAACTTATCATTCTCATGGAAGTTTGTTTTTCTTTAATGCTCTAGTTTTTTTCAACTACTCTTGGTCTGCTTATTGAAGCGAAATAAATATTTAAGTATTGAAAAAGCAGCAAGAGTAGAGAATGAAAGAAAATACTTATTAATATTTAACAGATTATGAAAGTAAATTTTTTTTTAAAGTTAAAGGGAAGGATGTTTGTTTATTTTGATTGTAAAAAAGTGCCTGTTTCTGGTAAATGTTGAACTGTATATCATTAGATTTATCAAATAATTTTACTACAGGAGAATGATGCTAAGTTGATACGTAGAGGAAAGTGAAGAAAAAAAAAACTAATTCTCTCACTGTAAATTAGGAAAAGGAATTTATGGCAAATTAGGTATTGGAAATCTTTCAGAAAGATTTTTCTTCTCAATGATTATGATGAAGGGCATATGAAGCCCTTCTGCAGCTAAATTAAAGATTTTAAAAATTCCTTCACTCAACAAGAGTTTTCCCATCTATCAGTCGCATCAGATTGAGCCAAACAGAATGTTTTATTGACATTCTAAGCAAAAATTACTGAATGAACTTGAGGGAAATTACTTTATTAGCCTTTTAATGAAATATTAGTTTGCATAACTCTACAGCTTTCTCAATAACAGGAAATTTGCTAAACGAATCAAAACAAGTGAAATTGACTATCTCTTTTGTTTGTATTGAAAAGCTTTGTGAGAAAATTAAGGTAAGACGATTTTTATCTGTCAATTTAATATTTTATTTATAAAATTAAAATCAAGATCGTATCATTTTTAATGTATTTTTATATTTTGATTGATTGCTAGCATCTTTTCATAGCATTTAAAGGAAAATATTATTTCTATGATACTTCATTACTTAAAAATAATTATATATTTATAGAAAGAGATTACTTTAGGTTCAGCATAAATATTTTAAATTTTCAGGACCTTCTTGTCACCAGCCACAACTGCTGTATTATATCGCTTTCAACTAAAAATGGCAGGGATTGAAAATTCATTACATTGACTTAGAAGGTTCAAGATCTTATAAAACTAATGTGGGGAAAATTGAATAAATGACGAATCTAAGAAATAAAGCATTTTCGATGATGTAAGTATTCACTTTACAGTCTGTTCCACCTTCCTATATGTGCTTTTAAGTACAATGAAATGATTTTGTACTAACTGTTATAATTGTAAATAACTGTTGATAATTGTAGAGTTAATGTTTCGATTATGAAAAGGGTGTGTGATAAGATAAAAAGTTAATGATGAAATTGTTAAACATAATCCATTTAGTTCAGTTAAGCACCGGGAGGATAATAATACTAAGGATGCAAATGCTGAGAATAGAACACTTATAATGTGCTTTTGTTTGTGTTTTCCTTCGTTTGATGAGAAGAAATTATCTTGGTAAAAAATATAAACAACTAATTACCTCAGTGTATCTTTATTTTATTATCTTTAAAGTAAAGAAATGTTTACTTCAAAGATTTCCATCAAGTGATACTGTGAGCAACCCCATCTCGTAGCCTAAAGAGATGTCCAAGCCGACATCTCACTTACCTGTCTAGTGAAAATTCATCGATGATCAATAAGTTGCTAGTAGCAACCAATAATGAATAAGTTTTTATTGGAATGGGAATAAGAACCCTTCAATAAGGNTTAATGATGAAATTGTTAAACATAATCCATTTAGTTCAGTTAAGCACTGGGAGGATAATAATACTAAGGATGCAAATGCTGAGAATAGAACACTTATAATGTGCATTTGTTTGTGATTTCCTTCGTTTGATGAGAAGAAATTATCTTGGTAAAAAATATAAACAACTAATTACCTCAGTGTATCTTTAAAGTAAAGAAATGTTTACTTCAAAGATTTCCATCAAGTGATACTGTGAGCAACCCCATCTCGTAGCCTAAAGAGATGTCCAAGCCGACATCTCACTTACCTGTCTAGTGAAAATTCATCGATGATCAATAAGTTGCTAGTAGCAACCAATAATGAATAAGTTTTTATTGGAATGGGAATAAGAACCCTTCAATAAGGTTAAACAAAACAACTGCAAACAAAAAGATATGGCAATTGATTGATTTTTTTAAATGATATATTTTAGCCTCTGGCTAGGACATATCTATAATTTCTTTACTGTGTTAAGTTACTACTATATAACTGAAATTGTAGAAAAAATAGTGGGTAGATATGGATTTTACTGGACACCTTGCACACATTTTTGTTTATTACTAATTTTATTGAATTTTTAAGCAATTCATGACATATTAGTTAAAATTTCCTCTGTCATCTCGTAAGGAGTTTTATTAATATTTTTTCCCACACTTATTGGAACTCTATCTGGTTTTATTTTGTATCTCTAAGGTGAAAAAAATATAATGATCTTTAGTCAGTCAAGAGTGGCCGCAACCAAAAATAATTTAAAAGTAGTAGAGATAGAAAGAAGTAACAAATTGTGTTTACTACTTAGTATCTACCCAAACATTTTTGTAAATTAAAGGAGATGTATCAAGATATTAAAAGTGGTCAACTATTCTGAAATTAAAGTGAACTTAACATGTTTTAAATTTCTGTGAGCCTTATGAATTGTCAATCATCACTTTTTAAATTTTTTCTAGTTATGGCTGTATCAGTAAACAACTACTTGTTATAACATGCAATTTTATTAATCAAAGTTCTTCATCAGTAAATGAATACAGAAAATGACATTTATTTTTTCTAAAAAATTTTAACCATTCGGATATGTTTTCCATTGACAATGATCTACAATAGAGTACAAACATTTATATACAATAATTATTTAAGGGAAAATTGCGACAAGATAAAACAACTGAAAAAAATCATCAGTTTAAAGACAAAACGGTATCTTTATTAAAATTGTTGTATAAGTAATTTTTACACGATCATAAATACTATACAATGTTAAAAAATATTTTTACTCTAATGTAATAATTTAATTTTAGTAGTATACTTTAACTTTTAATGATTTGCATTACAATTATTACTTTTTATAATCAATATTAAACTCTTGTTTTTTCAAATTATATCCAAAACATATCACCTTCATAGTTCAAATGATATTTTTTTTTTCAAAACTAATTCTAATAAAGAAACTAAAGCTTCAAATATTTTATTTGTAATTGACCAGATTTTATACTTAATGTATTTTGTCACTTAGTGGAGCAAAAAAGTCATTAAAAAACTGATGTATTGTTTTCAAGGGACAAAATTTTTTGCTGGAATTAAAATGTAATGCTTTAATATTAAACCATATGTTGGCAAATGCTTTAGCTTTTTTTTAGAATATGCAATAGATAGATCACATGTAGATGAGTTGCAATTGATATGAGCATATATGAAACTGTAAGTTTATTTGTAGATAAGTGATTGTTTTTATCATATCTGATAGCTTAAAGGATGATATTTTATCAAATTCGGTTAACACGAAGAAATGAAAATGCATTTAATTGATATTTATTTTCATTTTCTTTTCTATTTAAATGCATCGTCATGATTATGTTGAAAGTGATATGTCAAGAACAATATCATAGTCAGATCCATAAAATTGTTCTATTTATGAAAGAGAAACCTTTGGTGTATTTATTTATGCAATTTGTAATTTACAAAAATACAAATTATATAACTAAAGCAATTAACGATCTAATGATCAAAATAAATTTGGAATAATTTCATTTACAACATTATACAAAACCTTCACTACATAAAATGCCGGTGCAGTTGAGTAACTTTTGTTTCGTAGATCACCTGGAATTTATGTTCTTTGGGAGATTCGTCTAAAACAGACACATAAGAGTTAGTTTAACATTAGAATTTTTTTTTTCAATGTCATAATTTTTGGTGAGAGAATGATAAGCTGCCATTGTAGCAATAAAGTTCAACTTATTATAGTTCTCAAATTATCTCTCAGTTCATCCATTGTGTTTTGCATTGCAGATGCACTTATTGTAAAATAATTTACAATGAGTTTATGTAAGCTGCTTTTTTCTGTGATGAATAGATACATATTTTTACAATTTCACGTTTTTATTTTCATCTCTTAATTGCGTTTCATTTTTGCCTCAATTTTATCTTCCATGTCTTAGATTTCGGTATCTTTTTTTTGAAGTTTCCGTCAAAGCTGTGAGAGCTGCAGTTCTTCGACCGATTTGGACTATGTCTGATGGTCTGGTTGTATCGATATCTACTTTTCCTTGCAGTATCCTAGGTAAATCGTAATAAACAGCTGCTGGAACAGCCTCTGAAAAGAAAAAAAATTTGGTAAATAATTTTAGTTTTCTTTTTCCAAGACTTATAAATATTTATTTGTGCAAAATTATAGCTAATTATAATTAACTATTTGATTAATATTATTTAATTATTCATAATTTTCACATTACATTAAAAGTTATTTAAAATGATTCTTCTGCTTTTGCATACTTTGTAAATAATATGTATGCCAGACTCATTATCTTGACCATTTTCAATTCACCATTTATTTAAGCTGAAAATAAAGAAAAATGTTTTTTTTTTTAGCTATAAGAAAAAAACTAAAGTATAATGAAAATTTTAAGGTTAATTATTTTGTATGGTATATATTTATCCCCTAATTTTTATTCAACCTTCTAAGCATTCACCCTTTGGGCCTAATTTTATTAAAAATTTTCCGGCTATGCACTACTTTTCATTTGAATATTAAACCAGTTTTTTGGAACAGAAAAACTTGTACTTTAAATTTTAAGGAATATGCAGGTGCATTAATTTTAAAAAGCTTACAATTGTATGGTACAGAGAAAAAAACACCCTGAATTACTTTTGCTCTAATGATCAGATCTTCATATACTAAGATTTAATCTTAATGGCTTGAGGGAATGACCTTAAATATGGTAATTAATTGGTGCATACAATATTTTAAATTATGAAAATGACACAAAAACTTATTCTCTCTGAATAAACATACCTTTCTTTTCAACTGATTTGAGATTGCTGCCCTCTAAAAATGTAAAGGGTAGCTGAAATATGGTCCCAATAATTTAGTCTGGAGATAGGTCCAAAATTTAGCAAAATAAATGCAATATTGCGATTTGCATAGTTCATCATATCTCAAGAGCGAATTTAATAAAAATTGTTTTGCCTCATATAGTTATAATTTTTAAAATAATGTAAAAATTTATATGCCGTACAATTGAAAAACTTCTTGACTATGAAAGATATTTTTTATGCGCAATTTTCTTTGAATAAACACATTTTACAATTGTGTGCAAAATTTTCAATTTGCCTAAAAAGTTCTCAATATATGAAGAAATATGCAAAAATTAACATTAAGGGGTTCAAACTTTGGAACTAGATTGTGGCTATCTCTATATTTTTGGATTCAGTAATCTGAATTCTGAAAGAGAGGTATGTTTACTCAGAGAAAGTACATTTTGTGTCTTTATAACTTAAAATATCATCTGTGTAAATTATCAATTTGAGATCACCACCTTGAACTATTAAGATTGAGCTCTGTTATGTGAAAATTTGTGCTCATTTGATCAAAAGTTATTCTGGATGCTCTGTTTATTTATTTTTTTGTGCACTGTACTTATTCTTCAAATGGATATATCAAGTTTGTATCTAAGAGTAAATCATCTTCACTTCATGAAAAAAAATTTTCAGCCTAACATTTCCCTAGTGAAGGTTTACACATTGTATTTAAAATGTAATTATCCTTGCACACTTTTACTGAACATCGTTATCTTTGACTTGATAGACTTGGTGGGCCAAGACCTTCTTCTCTCGTTCTTCACCTTTAGTGCCTTGAAATCTCAACCCATTTCTTCTGGTTTGTATTCCAATCTTTTTATATTGAAAAACTGTGGATGTTAAAGATTGATTGAATTATTTAATGGCACAAGGTCTTGTGGATGTTAAAGTTCACATTTGATGTAGTTTATGTTAGTGTGATATCTGTCTCTTCTCTATAGCCTATGCTGCTCATTATTGAATCCATACCCCCACAATCATTATTATTTACTGCTCTTTCGAAGATAACAAGTATCTTTTTGTCATTGCTCAGGTTTCTGAGCCATATGTGAGCACAGGTTTAATGATGATTTTATAGCATGATTTATTTTTTCCTTCATATTAGTTTTGATAATAAAAAATTTCTTAATCCATTATCCAAACGATTAGCAGCATCAAAATTTATTTGAACCAAGATTGGTGAAATTATTGACAAGGTCAAATTTGTGATATTCAGTATGTTTTGATTTCATCAACAATTAAATGAAATTTTGCTGTTCAGGCAATAATAACTGGGTGTTTGTGTATCTAAGTCTAATTTAGCAATGTCAGTGGTAGCCTAGTTACTGGAAAGACCACTCAAGCCAGGCAGGTCATTGGTGATGCACCTGTACATGAAGAGTAAAACCCTGGTCTTCCATTTTTCCGTTGCATTCTAAAGAATTGAAAACTGGATTAATCTGTCAGAAAATGTTTTTAGGATTTGGATATGTTATGACGCTATTAACGAGTAGAGCTCTTTATGCCCTTAATGAACAAGTGAATGCATATAGTAATGAGCTGAGTGCCACCTAGAATATGTGAATAAACGTCTAAAAAAAGGAGAAATATGATATAAAAAGATTTTTTTTATAGTGACTTAAATACAAAGTGATAGTGGGTGATTGAAATAAAAATGACTTTGAACCTGTTATTGGAGAACATATATCCATCAGTATTAGGGAAAATAGGCTCAGCCTCATTGATTTTGCACTGGAGCTAAATATGGTTATTAAAATAACTATATTTCTGCACAAAAAATGCTCATGTAATGAATTTAATATTCATGGTTGAGATTTCTCAAGGTAAGTTTTTATTTTACTATACTACATTAATCTTTATCATCACACTATATGATTAACAGAACTTCCCAATGCAATGAAGAAATAACAGTCAATAAATAACCATATAAAACATCTCATTTTGGCAGAAAATTAAATTGCCAAACATGAGTAAGGACTAATCATAACTTTAAATGTATTTTACTCAGAGTCACTGAAATATCAACCATGCTTCTTTCAATTAGCTATTCAAGTATAAAAAATTAACATGCTAGCTTATTTCTACAGCAAAAATGATTGGTAACTCATGTGTTTTCTTATACCATTTATTTGATCAGAATGAAATTTTAATCACTAATAATTTAAAGTAGCCATTACATTGAATCACTCTACTCTTAATCATTCCATCAGGATGTATAAGAAAGGAATTTTTTTATTGAACAAATCTTACCCATAAATGCAATTTATATTGTAGATTTTTTCTTGTAAATTAATAGTTTACATCTCTTTTTAATCAAAAATGAGTTTGTTCCCTTATGTAGGTGAACACTATTGAATGATGGGGATGAGTTCAACAAATTAGTATTTTGCTGGCTTTCTGCTCATAAGCAGAATATTTTCAAATGTTCTGCAACAGGGCTTATTAATTATACAAATGTTATGCAAGCATTTCACGGCGAAAAAAAAGTCTTTCTTTACGTTAAAATACTATATTTTCATTTATTAAAATGCAGGATCATACACAGATACGCTACATTATTTTTAAACCAAAGCAAACATTCTTGATTTGTTACTTTTTCAAATATCATTTAAAAAAAACTTGACTATCTGTATCTTCAATAAGGGACAGACTTTTCGCAGGAAAACGCTGTTACTTATTCAAGATACAATAATTGTTCTGCATGACTTCGTTTGTTCTGCGACGTGCGTCACAGTTTTAGGCACTTTCTGCTTCTGGGGCTTTCTGATACTTATGAATTTTTATTAATTATAACTACACTTTTGAAACTTGTTTTGTTACACATAAATAATATAAAGTTAATGGGGATTGAAATTTTACACTAAATACTAATTCAGAAAATGTTGTGTACAGTTAATCTCTAACGCTTGTTCTGTTGAGTGTAATAATATAAAGCTACTGGAAATTATGTACTGATGCTAATTACTACTATTTCTGTGGATATACTTTTCCACCATATGAGATAAGTGTCTTTAAAAGGGAAAATCAAGATAATATTGTAGTGTTTAAAGTTGACTTCATAAGACTTACCATTACATCTATAGACTAAATCAGACCAGATAATAGATTCCTGTGAGAAACAAAATACTCCTAATCTACCTCCTTTTAATTTATTATCAAATATATTTCCTGAATCTGCTACCATGTTTTCTCCTTCAAAGATTCGAAGCCTGCAATAGAAAAAGAACTTACTGTTAGTTAAAGTAATATAATTCTATATTCAGATATCCAATCACAAAATCAATACAATTTACTTGGTCAATAATGATAACTAAGAGGAAAATAAACACACAGAAACTTTACTTAGTTAATTCAAATTGGAAAGGGCACAAGGCAGCTGAAACCAAATCTGTATTATATAAACTAGAAATAAGACATAAATTCTTAATAATTAAAAATAAAATATTATATATAAATGTGTCTTTGCAGTACTTCATCAGGGGACATACTGCCTGCAAACACACAGGAGCCTTTTTGTAGTCAGTGGTGAAACCAAAAACTGACNAAGAATTTATTTCTAGTCTATATTCAGATACACATTTGCACGCTCATTACTTTGTTGTGTGTAAATATTATTACATTAGTTTATTTTTGGTTTTCAGGGGAAGGAAGAGCCAAGCCTGATGAATAAAAGTAGCCATTTCGAGATGTCTCTTTTGAACAAATTAATAAGTCCCTTGTAAATTAACTTTTATATTTTGTGTATTTTGTATTACAAAAGATAATTTAAAATAAAATGTCTTCTAATTTGTATCCAATAGTTACCATTTTCAAAATCCTTTGTTGTAGTATTTGAGCCTATTAAATCTCTAAATGCTCATTTAAATAAAGTGTCACATAACATCCATAGGCAATAAGGTAATCAGCATAAGGTGTGTGCACAACTTCAATGAACTGATGTATATGTAAGGAATTAAAAACAGGAATGTATATGCCTTTCCCTGTGTTAAAAATTATATCCTAATAACACTTGAACTAGCCAAGCTCACTAGCTATTGGTTTTGCGAATTAAGTCATGAAGGTACGTCTTTCATTTGACTAGATAGCACCCCATAGGTGAAAGTTTGGCTTAGCTCAGAACCCCCATAGAAATTGCAGCTCATGAGGCCAATTCCGCAATTTAGACAGATCTGTAGGGAATTTTCTCTAGGTCTCTGTAGCCATCCCAGCCTATCATGACCGGAGGCTGATACTCTAACCACTGACTTTATATCCTCATTATTATCATGAATGAGCTCATTTTAATTCTTAACACACTGCAGAAAAAATAGTAAGAATTATGTTTTCTTTTTATATTGCTTGATAAATGGTGTTTATGAATTCTAAATTTAAAATTAAGTTTTCATTCTATGAATGAAAAAAGGCATATTCAAAATAAATTATATTACCTGATTAGTCCTATATGGGGTCTGTGCAAAAGTAACCACCTGTAAGCCACCTTCTCTTTCCAACCAACATTTCTTGGATCTTTCCATAGTAGTTTGACCTGATAAAATATGAATTATTTTCTGAATAGTAATACTGTACACTTAACCATGATATTGTGCAAATTTGGTGCAACATTAGACAAATGAATCTTCTCACATTTCATGTGAAAATAGTGTGCAATCTAAATGAGAACATAATTCAATTTTTGATACTTTAGATTTCAATCCATTTAAACAATATTTTTTGTGCCAAGTTTTACTGACTCAGTAAATCACTATAAAAAAAGTACTTCATGATAGCAATACATTTTAAAGCGATTTTCTCTGAACAAAAATGATGGTCCAATGTAAGTTTTTAATTGTACCACAATGATTGGTTTTAAAACTGTTATTTATCGTGATATTGTTTAACTTCAAATGTACCTTTTGAATAATACATTTTATCAACATGTCATTTTATGAGTTATATTATAATTTAATATCTATATATTATATAAAACGATAATACGTATGTATCAATAAAACCAATGATATTTCTTTTCTCACGTTGGCAACAGTTTTAATTTTTAATTGATGGGATTCGATGCGCAAGAGCACGTAGTGAGCATCATATGTCTAATCAGGTGAATTCTCACCGAATTATCAAGAAAATTCTCACAAAATAGTCTTCATCGAAGCCGATGCTTTACATCCGGCTTTCAGTACTATTTCATATTGTTTTACAACACATGGTTTTAGCCCTCTGGTGGGAAAGACTTTAAAACAAAACTTACAACAGTTACTTTTCTCAACAACTGAAATTTAGAATAGTGTGATTAAGAAAAATATGTGAACTGTTTGCAATTTCAAATTAATATTGAAATGCACAGGTTTAGAATTTTCTACAGTGAAAAGTTTTCGGAACTTCAGTGTTCAAAAAAGTATACAAAAGCTAGACGTTAAGAACGTATCCAATGCGCGAGCATCGGATTGCGGAGCAATCCGATATGAACTGCGAAAGCAATTCCGGGGGTTGGCGAGCGCCAGCGAGCAGGGGGCGAAGCCTCCTAGTTACTTTTAAATATTTATCATTAACAGAGAGAATGAAACTTTTATAATAACTTGGAAAATTTCTTTTTTTTTTTTTTTTTTTNTTTTTTTTTTTTTTTTTTTTCCTTTATGAAAAAAAAATTGAGATCGTTAGATAATAGAGGGTAATTTTTCTCTTTTGTAAAAATGACTTTCTTTTGCACATAATAATTGCTTAAGAGGTTACGAAAGAAGAAAATATGTATAGGGTGTCCAAAATTTATGCTAATGGCCAAGAATATCTCTACACATATGCATCAAACCAAAAAATTTAAAATATGCATGGGAAATATTCTTAATAAAAGAAAAAAAAGACTATATATTGGAGGGAAAAAAGCACTAATGACATCAAACTTTACTCTGTACTTTAATAGCCCAGTGTCAGGATCTGGGGATCAAGTTTGGTGTTATCAGAATTTTTTTTTTAGTTTTTGATTTGATATTTCTTAAGATATCTTCATTTAAAACTATTTCCTCCTCATTTTGTAATTACAGTGCCATAGGAACCAAAATTTAAAAAATCTGCTTGTAAGTCTATTTCAGGTTGTTTTTCTGAAGGATCCTAATCTTTACTCTAAGTGGATGCCATTTATTTATCTTATGAAAATATTTCACTAAAATATTTTTGATGCAATGCTTATTTCGCGAAATATTTTACTGCTTCTATATTTTTTGGACATCGTTTATAAATCTGAACATTTATTAGTTCTGGTTTTTTAACAGATAGTTCAAAGTTTTTTTTTATAGCCAATTTGTTTTTAAATTTTAAACATAATTTTAAATTCGGTCAACCACATTGGTATAGTACAGAGGGAGAGAGATTTTTTTTTCATTTTATTTACAGACTCTGAAAAAAAAGGCCATTAATACTTATTTTTCCTTTTATATGTGTAGCACATTCTGGATCATGAAGCTTAAACGTAACTTTTTCAAGATATTAAATTCTTACTTGTTTATCTGTATCCCCTGTATGCCATAAAGAATTTCTTAGCATTTGTCCAGGTCCCGTAGATGATTTTACTAACTTTAATTGTATACCAGGCTCAGCTACTGCTCGAAATGGTGTTGCCTGCCAATAAGTCTGTGTGCTTTTCTTCCACATAACAACATAGAAATTGGAATTATCTTGATAGCTGAAATTGATAAGTTAGAATTTGTAAGAATTTTTTCTTTTTATCATTATATTTTAATGATTATGAATGATAGTCACTTAATCACTTAGACCATACTATATATTCAGATACACATTTGCACGCTCATTACTTTGTTGTGTGTAAATATTATTACATTAGTTTATTTTTGGTTTTCAGGGGAAGGAAGAGCTAAGCCTGATGNAGTATTTCTTTAGCAGTTTATTTGTGGGCGGAGTTATAATTTTTTGATTTATTTAATTCACCATTACCTTTGTTCAAAATAAAACTATTTAGTTATACTTTGAATTATCATTGATTATATATATGATTAAACTAACTATAATTAAAATAAAAGCAAAGTAAGTCTGTAAAATTAGTAACGACTGCATTTAAGTTACCATTTTTTATTTAATTGCAACTTGTTTCTGATTTTGTACGAATGCTTTTCTGAATCACCCGTCCCCAAGGGGTTAAGCAGTAAAAGACTATTTTATGTTATTTCAATGGAAAAGAGAATATTTTCGATGTGCAGTACAGGAAATAAATCGGTCAACTAGTTCCTGAGAATTCGAATTTAAAATGTACGACTTTTTTAAATTTTGAGTTCTCAGGCACTATTTGACCAATTTCATACAAATTATTAATTTTTCATATAAAATTACACTTTTTAGAATGATATAAATCGTATACCTTACAAAATGTTTCGACTATTATTAAAAAAAAAAATAAATAATAATAATTTTTTTTTGGATGGAATTATCTTTGGGTAAACGAATCTAATAAAATCGAAAATCGACTTAATAATGTTGAAAATATTTGATAGGTTCCTAACATTTTTTTTTAAAATTAAATATTCGCTGTCGAGAAAGGCATACTGGAGGAAATTTGAAATTTAAAGAATGGATTCGTAAAAACTTTTAAAACAAACTTGTTTTTGTTCAAACTTTAAAAAAATATTTCTTAATCATTGTGCCCCTTGTTTAAATAAGCGAATTTTTATTCAAAACCCTTTTGAACCTGCGTGTAAATGAAGATTCCCAGAAAAATTAGTCTCCTTAAAGTAGTGACTACATTTCGAAAATAGTTGTAGTTAACTACGAAAAAATTTAGTTTTTCCTTCTACTTCTCATTCGTATGAAACATATTTACTCTAAATTGTATTTCGATTGTTATATTTTACTTCGTGTGGTAAACTGATGTACAAAGGCGTGATGCATGCCAAAATTATTCTGCTAATTAATAGTAATTATTTTAAACTTATAACGCTAAAAATTTTTGCTAACGTTAATTAAGACAATTTTAACTCATAACTTTATACTTGGACAGTTCAAGAGATAATTAAAAACTTGTTAATATACCTTCATAAATCAATGAAAGTAGTATGAAGTTGAATAGTTTATTTTTATTGTAAACAAAAATGTTTAATTAATTACGGTGCTATTTATTTTAATTGATTACTCATTGTAAAATAATAAATCAAGGTACTCGAAAGAGTGATTTTACCTAAGCTTAAAAAAATTAATTATTTTGCACCAATTAATTTTCCGTTGTCCTTCTATAATGACATTTTAAACTTCAAATGTGAATCCAAAAAAAAAAATAAAACTTAAAAGAGAAAAGAAAACAAAATTCTCGATTGCTTTCATTTGTTATGTTATAGCACGTTTATTTAAAGAAAATTTTTATTAATTGCTATCCACCTCGCTTTCCATACGAGCCATCTTTTCAATCATTAATTAATTTCTCTCTCACAACAAAACATTTTTTTTTATTAATTAACCTCTTTCTAACCTCCGTATCATTTTTCTGATATATTTATCTTCATTTTTTTATTGTGGGATAATTAATATGAACGATAGATTCCTAATCGCTCACCAAATAAATATCTATTCAAGAAGTTAATTTCGCCCCGCCTTAATTATTCCTAAACGGGTAATTTCACGTTAAAAAAGAAGCATTTATCCAGAAAAAAAAACGTTTTTCACACCTCCTCTGCAGGCAGTTTTTGTATTGTTAGCCAAATAAAAATTCATTAATTCTGATGCTTTTGAACTATTATTAAAGGACCCTTCCCATTTTTGCGGATGATGAAAATCACGCTTCTGTCTTAAATCACATTCTTGAATCTCGAAAAGGGAAAGTAAGCTACAGCACCACCTGCTGCACCTCCCCCTTTCTGAATACCCCCCTTTTCCTTTATTCTGTGAAATAATATGCCAACCGTTGCACGTAGTTGAGAAATTAATTAGGGCTCACCTCACTTTAATCTTTCCTTTGAGCCTTTCTCACCCCCCTTAAATTATGTAAAAGTATTACAATATTTCTGCTGCAGAAGCTTTTAGCATTTGAGGTGGTTGTATAATTAAATTTTCTGGATTGCCTTTAATTGCGGAGACAAACTTAGTTGAGGTTTTAGAAATACAGCTGAGCTTATCTCAAATTCATAACCACTAATGACAGGGAGAAAATTATCACTTTCTCAAGAGGGAAGAGAGAACTATCTTAGATTTTTGTTGGAATTAACACTCATTATAGATTTTGCAAAAGGTTGCAATAAATTCAATAATATTATTTCTAGTATAATAAGTTAATAATGGATCGCAACCCCCTCCCCCTTCATTTTTTGAATTATTAATGTTTTTTTTCTCATCGGGTTTGTTATTTTCATAAGCGGAAATGAATTGCACTAACATTTTATTGCTTATTTTAAATTTATCAATCTGTTTTTTTTTTTAACAAAATGTATTTTATCTTTTAAAAAGGTAGGTTTTAAATTTGTTAATTATAATTTAAAATAATAATTAACTCGTTGACTTTTATCAAACCGTTATGTTTTAAAAAGAAGGAAATTAATTTTCAAAATCATGGCGATTCAAAAGTGGTTTCTTTTTATTCTCTATTAAAATTATCACTTTTTCAAGAGAGAAAAGATAACGATTTAATTTTTGTTGGAATTATACACTCGTTATAAATTTTGTTAGAGGTTACAATAATTTCAAAACAATCCAGTTACATCATTTTCAGTATTATAAGCTAATTACAGGTCACTTTTTTCTTTCTTTTTATAAATAGGAAATGTGATTTTTTTCTTCTGTTTCTTTCGTAAGAAGGAAGTGAATTGCACTAATATTTTTTTGCTCATTTTAAATTATAAATTCCTTTTTTTAAACAAAAAATATATATTTTTTTGTGAAAAAAAGATGGGTTTCAATTTTTTTATATTCTGATTTAAAATAATAATTAACGCTTTGGCAATCTAAAATTTAAACTTATGTTTTATAAATTCATCTAAACCAATCTAAAATTTTAACCGTTCTTTTTCATAAATAGGAAATTATTTCTTTTCATTCTCTATCTATTGTAAACATTATTATTCTTAACCGAAATTAAAACTTTCTTAAGCGGGAAGATTAGATTATCTTAGTTTTTGTCGAAATTATGCACCCTTTATAGATTTTGCTACAGGTTGCAATAAATTCAAAAAAAACTCAATAACATTATTTCCAATATAATGAATTAACTACGTATCGTTTTGGTTTTCTTTCCTTCTCTATATAAATAAAAATCGCTTTTTTCTCAGATTTGTTCCTTTCTTTTGCGGTGCACTAACTTTTTATTGCTTATTTTAAATTATCAATCGTTTTTTTTCTTTCTTTTAAACTTATATATGATCTTTTATAAAAGGTAGGTTCTGAATTTGCTAATTATAATTCAAAATAAAAATTAACACGCTGACAATTATCTAACTCTTATGTTTTATAGAAAGAGGGAAATGAATTTTTATAATCATGACAATGCAGAACTTCTTTCTTTTCATTCTCTATCTATTGTAAACATTATTATTCTTAAGCAAAATTATTGCTTTCTCAACAGGGAAAATTTAGAGCCGCCAGAGATTAGCTTAATTCTGGAGTTGGTCCATGTTGTTTAAAATTGGAACAATTTGTAACATTTTATGTTTCTTAAACTTGATATCATTACAATATGATTTATTTTGGAATTTTAATATATATTTCAAATTTACTTTCTATTTACATGACTTTCCTTATCAAAATGAAAGCGAATTTCCTTACAAAAGTTTGAAATTCAGTTAATATGTCGCGCTTTGCCGAAGGCCGCTGAAAGCCTAAAAAGCCCTTATTTGGTTTATATCATCGATTGAAGTCTGTTTATTTGACCTATATTTATTTCTTGTATGAAGATCTCTTTATGGTGATTTATAATATAAAAGCTTGCATTTATTATATGAGCAATATATGTATTGAATAAATATAATATTGTTGGATACCTGAAAATGAATCCAACATAATCGTCGTCAATTTCTGTGTCCACGAAAAATGTACCTTCAAAATCTACTCCACCAAAAGCATGAAAACCTAAATAAAAGAAGGAATAACATCTTGTAGTATATCACAAATATAAGACACAGTTCAAATAAAAATAAAACAAGCTCAGTCACATATTTTTAAACTTGTATTTCTTTTCTTTTTTTTTATTTTTCTTCAGCAAATTTTTAATTTAAGCTTACTGCGTAACGTTAGAAATTTTTTTAATGATGTAGATTACTTTCAGCAACGATAAAAGTAAACATATTTAGAGAGTTTTTTTTCCAAAGGGACAATGGTATAACTCAAAATTCTGGAAAAAAGTTTTACGTAACTAAACTGTAAAATAATAATTTTTTCAGTGTTACAAAAAAAATGGTAGCTGCATAGCTTTAATTTGATGAATCTTTAGGAAGGATGTGTGGTCGGTTCAGCAGCATTTTTAAATTAGGATCCGAAAATTTTCTTTTTGAGTTATACAAACAAATAGCTACCGAAGTACATAGTTTATTTTATTAATTAATGAATTATTATTATTTTTTTTTACTTTTGAATACATTATGTATATACAAAACAAAAAATCTCAAGATAATTGTAAATAACGAAAAAATAAATAAAAACATATATCGTTTTAAACATTATAAACTGTTTAAGTCATAAGTAAATTGATGAAGCTTTTTTTTCGAGTAAGCCAATTAAAAATTAGAACGAATTGAAGTTTAATAACAACTGGTATTTATAAGTGGTATTAAACCGATTTTTTTCTCAATCGTTTGACATCAAATATATATATATATATGAGTCATTCTCACGAAAACAGTCATTTTTCAGTTCATAAAATCCCAAAAAAGTAAAGTGAATAAAAAGCTCTGAAACTTTTTATATTAATAGAATTATGTAATGGCATTATAAAGGAAGTATATATTCTATAAATTATACATAATATTTAAATTAATTAATTTTTTAAACAATTAATTTATAATTAATTAATTTTTAATAATTAATTAATTAATTTAATAAATAAATTAATTTATTAATTTATTTTTCAAATTAATTAATAAGTAAATTAATCATTTTCACTATTTAAAAAGTGAGGGAATGACACTAATAGTGAGGGAATGATATTTTATTTTAATACATGTTTTTATCTAAGTTACATC